ACACATTTTGGTTTCAATGAGTCAACAATTTCTAATATTTTCCAAATAGCAATAGCTCAAGTTGTTTTTTTGGTTGGGTTGGTTTTTTTTTTTGGTTTTTTTTTTTTTTAATTTTTTTTTATGTAGAAAAAGTGTGTGCTTCCTGGTGAAGGGCACAGCAGATTGTGTAGTAGTGTAAGAAACATGAGAATGTGAATCACTTTCCATTTGCCTCTCTGCTGCACTCCATTCTCCCAGACACTATGAGCAAGGCAGAAAAATGGAATCTAATAAAGCTCCGTTTTAGCCTGACTCCTTAATATAATTCCTATAAATCCTGTCCTTCATACCTCTCTGCTCTCTTGCTTCATGTTCACTGAAGTATGTGAATTTCTAATAGCCTAATTTCTAATATGTAAATTTCTAATAATGTTTAGATGGATGTCTGATGCCTAAATTATCCACAAAATTTGAGAAACCTTTTCTTACGTACCAAAGGAGTTTCTTTGCTTGTCCACTTAAAAAAATTGATTTATGAAACTTTCTGGTGTTTTCTTCTTTTCTATCTTTACTTCCCAACCAGAAAAACAAATTCTTCATTTTTTAATAAATTCTTCATTTATTAGTTATTTCAAGTTAGAATACTCAGTCCTTTGAAAATTAGATCTTGAAATTTGTAGAGAAACTAACATGGAAAAACAACTTTGTGATGTTTTGACATTCTCAGAATTCCTTCTACTGCCTGGGCTTTTGGAAAATCAAAAAAGTTTTCCCAAACTTATAAACATTTCCAAAATGTTTCAGAATCCATTATTTGAAAAAAAAAAAGAAAATTTATCAAACAAGTCAACCCTAAAGTGCATTTTTTTTGAGGAGTAGTATAGGTAATGGATAATGACAAAGAAGCATTTTTGCACCCAAATGAGGAAGAGTCCACCTGCAAATGTTCTCAGTATGGTATTTTTGCTTTAGTTCATCACTGTGAACATCATGTGCAAGGCACAATGATAGCCATTTAGAGCATTGAGTTTCTCAGCAATGAGACATGAGAGTAATGTTGTGCTGTCACCCAATTTCTGACTACCTTTTATGTCACTCTTCTGAAATGTTACTGAATGGTTCTTCTCTGGAGTCACATGCAAACCCATTTGGGAGACACTGTAAAACTGTTTACTATGGGTTTGTCTGCTCAGTAAATGAGATTTCTTTGTATTTCATCCACTTGATTTTTGACAGATCTTCCTTTTTGTTCCTAAAACTGAGAAGGCAGCAGATGTTCAGACAGAACAGCTGTGTTTGTAAGAGACATGCTTTAATCTAACCCCTTGCAAAGAAGTCCACTACTTACAAGCTGCTTCTTGTAGGCGGGTGAATCACTGTGGCTACCAAGGTTCTGACACTTGCCACATAGTTCCTAAGACTGTAATGTCACATCTAAATGTGCTGACAATTCTGTGATCCCACTTTGGCCACAGTCTGCAGACTATGGAGGGACTGCCTCAAAACAAAATTCAGCACCTCACTAAAATAATGGAGTATTGCTCTCAAAACATTTAGAGTTTTATGAGGGTGGTCTTCAACTGGACAGGCTACTTGCTCCTCAGTAGCCCAGTTTGTCTCCTGAACAACCTATGACCATAAAGGTGTTAGCATAACATTAGTGAGTGAACTGGCACGGGGATTTAGATGCATACACTCTGTGTCTACATCATCCAATTGGTTTTTCCATATTTTGTCTCAAGGACACTGCAAGTACTGCTAATTGTCTCTGAGGCTGCATCTGGAGCAAGGCACAACCCACAGGTGAGCCAGTGTCTACCAGACCCATATATGGGCTCAGGGCTTCTCCAGGCATGAGCAGCAAGGGCAGCATGGATGTCAGAGTCCCAGCTCATACTCGGCTCCTGTAAGAGACACTGCATCTTTCAACCACAAACCAAACAACTTACAACATTGTATAGTGCAGAAAATGACACTTCCAAGTGTATTTATTGAGAAATAGTAAAGATGTACATAATTTTACAAGCTTTTAATTTTAATTTACATTTTTCTTAAATTAGGTAGGCCCTAATAAACTATAATCTGCTAATACATGACAGAGACCCTTGGCTTCAAATCTCCAAAATGCTGCTATTGCTGGGATTTTGGCTAATGTCACTTCAGCTCCTCTTCAGCCATACTAAATACCATATTCATTTACAGCATATGCCAGGTGTCAATCCTATAAAACAGAGATGACTTTTGAACTGAAACCCTGGATCTGGATACAACTTTACCTCTAAAACCTAGTCTTTCCTATCGTGGGTCAAGCCTATATTCTCCATAAACTCTGCAGTTCTGATAGGATGTAAGATGTCATCTGCCCCAAGATGAAGAGTGCTTGTATGGAGGACTTTATTTGGCCTCATCTCCCTTGTCAATGTTTACACTGGAACACACTCTGCATCTGCTTCAGATGCAAACACTGCTGCTCACACTGGATTGAGATGGGAACAGATCTGGGAGCAAGCTGCTACCTATATCTTTGTGCACAATCTCCAAAGGCATCTAAAAATAAGCGCAATTTTTAGGTTTTTCTGCCCTCTTACTGAACTGCACAGAGTTATGTCTAAGATACTCGCCTGTGACTGTAATCACACAGTATTTGTATTTTGCCAGCTGACTACTCAAATACTTAATGAACATTCAGGTTCTGTACAGAGAACTGCTTTTGCTTTTTCAGCAAAATTTTTTATTCTATATTTCATTTGCCCAAAATACTTGCAAATGGGGCCTTGTGCTCAATCTTGTTGTTGAGGAGAGGCTGAAGGGAAGGTAGTTTCTGATTAATATGCTTCTGAATTAAAATGCACTCAATGTCAAAGTGACCAACCTTCAATTTAATCTTCTTAGGCCCATCTGGAACAGTCTGGCATGACTGTCTCTGCCTTGGTTATTTTCTCCTCTGTTTTGTTCATGCAGGAAAATATATCAGACTAATTTCTCTCTACAAGGCAGGCATGTACTACACAATTTTATTTAAAGATATATAGCAATTTTTGCTTAGCAATAGAGTATTCATTCTCTGAAATTTTGTTTTAGAGTTTTAGTATTGCAAAGCCTTTTGAGCTACATCCTTGAATTTTCTTTGGATACATGTCTGTGTGGATTACTTGTTTTAACAATTAACTTCCACTATGGTGGCACACAGAACCGTGTCATGCTCTGTGAAACTTCCCTCCTTTACCTCCATCTCCTCTCTAGAAGTCCATATATTAATTGAGCCATATCTGCCACAGAAAGCTAAGCACAACTCCAGTGAAGGCACTGCAAACCTTTAATAAGAACCAATGGCTGTTGCTGGGCTACTTTTTGTTCTTTCATTTGATTAGGAAAAGAACATTGAAAAGCTGAACAAATAACTTGAGAAATAATATTACTTCATGCATTTAAATAACAATATGACATGTCAAAAAAAAAAAGAAGTGAAAAAAGCTAGTTAACCAAACAAATTTTTTTTGTTTTGTCACATCTTTTACATTGAGATTTTTATGTAATGCTGGAACTTGAGAAGGGTTTCGAAGTTCTTTCCCATTCCAGTAGAAAAACTTTTTTTTCCTATCTGAAAAACTAAAAAAGCTGTACTACAGATTTTTATGACATGTATTTCCAGGTACTGAAAATATAAAGAAGATATGCATAATTCAATTTTTGTTTTGGACACACAAATCTATCACGCAAATATCTACTTAGTCCACAGGGACTTCATATGTGGCGAGTCTCATGTGATGGCTTTAAACTGCCCAGTGATAAAAAATTATTGTTTGTTGTGTGATGACTTGTATATCCAATTCCAACACAGCAATGAAATCCATTTTTATGAATTTATAGAGGAAATTCACCTTGGACTTGTAGTGGCTTCGGGCTTTCACCTACCAAGTAACTTTCTTGAAACCTCAACAAAGTTTAAATGAACTAAGTTACTACCTGGTAACTCTGGCATATGATGGCTTCAGAGCACAAAGAGAAGATTTTCACCTCAGTGCTGACTACTGTGCTCGTGCAGACATCCTGGAATTTGCCTTTAACATCTTCTCTTGCAAATACCTCTTCACACAGTCAGTGCACATTCAGCCTCAGGTGTCTCCACATACAGTGTTAAAAATTGAAAAAGCAGTTTCCACCTTCTGCCATGAGAGATGAGCCACTTGCTGTTATTACAGAGTGCTCAAGCTGCACATGGAACATTAAGGGCCCTGTGTGCAATATGAATCTTGCTCATTTTCCATAGCTGAAAGATAGAATGTTCAAAACTTGCAAGGTAATTGTTGCTGTATGGACCGTAACTTTTAATAGACATTATGGAAGCTAAGGTGATATATTTCTCAATGTTTCTTCATGAAAATCACCTCCTTATCCTCTCCTCAGATGCCTGGCATGCTATTGAAATTTCTTTTGCAAAAACATTTAGGGTTGTCCCTGTGTAAGTTTGTTGAGAAATCAAAAATGGATGAGAAAAATCATGCTGACCCAAAACAAAATACACAAAAATGTGGAACAGAATGGTAAACCTATAAAAATGCTTTTCTTTACCAAAGTGGACTATTCTCCTGAAATGGCCGATGTCACCAAGTCAGCAATTTCAGCAGCTTGTGTTGACCCTGAATATGCTAAATGCAGCATAATTTCTACATCTGACAGATGGGAACTTCTTTAGTAATTTTTCATCCCTAATGAACTTGTATTTTATTCCCCATCTGGGATTAACTCCACATTTTCGCCTTCCCGTAATGCCACCTGAACACTTCGTCTGCTGGGTGGAACTTTGTTCTGTTCTAGACAGCAGATGCACTCATTGTATGGCTCTCAGTGGACTCACTAATTAATGAATGTGGCTCTTAGTTCTCTTGCTGGAGATCAAGAAATGATGCTGAAGGTGTTAAACACTATTTCTTCTTTTACCTTTCCAGGTAGCGGTCCCCAGTATCAACCTCCCAATATTTTCTTAATTTTTCTCAAAAAATCAGTGGAATTATTCAGAATCCAAATAAAAACACAAACTTTCCTTTATTTATTTTTCTTACTGCAACAAATACTTAAATTCTTTGGTGCAGCCCTGCTCTTTGATTTCTTTGAATTTCAAATTTGGTCATGTGAAAAATTATCACAAAGGTTTTTTTGTTTATCTACAGAGTTTTTAACCAAAATTACATTATAACACACGAACACAGTCTTCTCTTTAAGGCACAACACATCATATGCACATTCTCTTTGCCAAACTTATAAAAGAGACAATATTATATAACCCTTTCCCTCCCCTGCCCCCACCCCCCCAAAAAAAGAAAGAAAAATTGCATCCACTTCCAAAATCAGCTGCTAATAAAGTCACAGTAAATTATTTTCATCAATAATTTACACAAATTACATGTCTAGACAGGATTGTCATTATACAGTCTGAGTGCATTCCAATTCAGATTTTTTGGGTTAGGTAGGCTAAAGTCTGGTTCAAACCTCAGTGCTGAGAATATATCCCATTTTGAGGAATGTTGTTGAACACCACCTTGTTGGCTGGAAAATGCGTTTTGGTGCTTTGCCAGTTCGAGTCCTTTGTTCACTCCTGTCAGGGCTCACTTGGTGTGTACCAGCAACCTCCACAGTTTTAATTCATTTAAAAATGTTGCATATATAAGACCATAGAGCTTTCTTACGTAGCACTAATGCTTTAACTCCATTCAGCAATCTGAATTCTTCAATTTGGAATTTTTAATTCCAAATATTTCTTCCCTTCTTAAGACAATTCATATGTGTAAAGCCAGAGGCATTGAATCACACATAAAAATTCAGTGTACTTGAAATACGTATACATATATATATATGTATGTATATATATATATATATACATATAAAAGGATCACCAGCTTTAGAACACAGTTACAAATACTCTAGTTCCAGTGCTTGATGGAGAGCCAAGAGGTCCGAATGACTGGATATCCTCCAGAAAGGCATGTTGTGCTGTGTTTGTCAGAGGAGGGAAAAGGTCAGGAAAGAGGAACACTGTGACACAGGGCAGCATACCACACACAAGGATAGTTAGAGATTATCAGCACCTATCTGGTGTTTCTGGATTGATTTTTGCTATTCAAGTACTGACAAAATAGATCTGAGCTACTGCTCAATTGAAGTTAAAGTAATTAGATGATAGCCTTTCTTAACAGTTTATTTGGAAAATGCCTGTTACTTAGTAAAAGCCACTTGCTTATTGTTAGCATGCAAGCCTGTGCAAAGGAGCATTAATAGTAAATAATTTGATGCTCCACTTATTTGACTGCAAAATACTGAATCATTTAAAGAACTATATGACTTCCATGAAAAGATGCTTCTCACTCAACACTTCAAAACGGAGCAGAATTACATTTTTTCTCCATCCAGGCAGAAAAAGAAATGCATTTGGATAAGAAAATAACACATTTCTAGTTTAAGAAAAGATAATTTGTATTGCAGAAAGCATCAGTGTCTGTGAGAGATGCAGGTATACACACTATTCTCCTTCAATAATTCATCAGAACAGAAAAAACCACACACTTCCATATTGTGTTTAGATCTATTTGAAATGTGCTATATTCATCCATCTCTCTGAATTCTACATCTATCCATGCAATATAGCCAATATTAAGGAAAAAGCATGCCCAACCTGAAAGCCCACAATCCAACCACCACTGTTTAGCAAAAATTATAAAGGACCCATCACCAGTACTGTACCTATATTAAGGAACCATTTGGAATGAGCATTTTGGTGATTTCCATTGTTTCCACTCCAACTACAAAGCTAAGAGAGTGCTTAATTTTGCTACATCTAGCACAACAAGATTTACATAATTGGTCCTGTACAGACATTGTGAGGAAAAAAATCAATTTCTGCACACTTTCATGGGTTATACTGGGAAGCACAGCACAAATGACTATTTTGATGTTTCTGAACATTAAAAATTTTTCTGCTGAAATTAGACTTGAATTATCATGAGGAAACTAGGAAACAGTTCTTTTTTGGAAACAGATTTGGTGCACGATCTCTACATTGTGTTCTTTTTCCTTTAGCATATATGTCTTTCTTGAAGCAAATTATATTTTTATCATATTTGCCTCAGTAAACTATGGATCTTCATATATCTTAGCAAAAAAATTTGCACAGTCCTTTAGATGTTTTCCACATTCTCTGTAACACTTCTCTTGAAGCATTCCCAATTTCAGCATTTTAAGAAAAACACCACTCAACCATCATATCATAACCCTTTCTATCTCTTCTGTTTATCTTTTAATTTGCTTGAAGTTTGTCAGACATTTTTTCTGCATTATTTTTCCATCTGTTTTAAAAAACTTTTTTTTTTTCCCTTTCCAAAGTGAAGCAAAGCAAATGCTAGAATCCAAATGGTTCATTTTACTCTAAGTGTTGATCTCATCATGCTCTTGTTGGCTTGCATCTGTGGACTGAAGTTATTTGTCATTTTGTGCAACACTGACAGAAATGCAAACAGAAAGGCTTGCATTAGTAGCTATGTATCACACCAACATTTCAGAAGACAGGTTACCTTTTTTGCTGCCTGTTCTTCTTCTACACCATCCCCAATTACAACATATACTACTTTTCTGCCAAACCTTTGCATTATTCGTTCAAAGCAACTTTCTTTTCCTGGAAGATAAATGAGATAAGAGTTCAGAGTGAAGTTACCTGATTAGCTGCATGTTCCTCATCTCGGCCATCTCCAATCACAACATAAGTTATGTTAGTGCCAAATCTGGACACTATACGCTCAAAACAGCTTTCTTTGCCTGAAAAACAATGCACTATTTATTCAAGCTATCAAGTGAGTTATGGTGAAGCCTTACAGAGGATTTTTGCAGTGGTAAGACATTGCTACTACTACTTTTAAAAAGTTCCCAACCTTGGGATTTAGAGCCAAATCTGGTAAGAAGCAATGGATTCCCTTAGTGACACCAAGATGTTTCAGGTGAAACTAGATCTCTTAATCATTACAGGAAAGCCACTAAGACAAAGGAATTAGCAGCACTGCAAAAATGAGTAAGTTAGCAAATGAATAATTGAATTTAAATATTTTCTTATGATTGTAATAATATTATTACAAGGAAAGTCGAAATTTTAATTCTACTGCAACGAGTGATGTAGTAATGAAAAAACTTTATTAAATGATGACTGAGTTGTGCCTGATGCTGCTAGAACATGCTTTTTCCTTGTGAAAACAATTTATGAAACATATTGCAATGCTTTTTTCAATGAACTGACACATTCCATACTATAAAGGTAGGTATAGAAATGAAGCATTCATGAACTGATGATTAGTAAAATCTGCAAAATTATCAGTCATTGTATGCTGCATCACATTTCACAGGAATGACTGCTTCTCTTGGTTTACAGTTTTGGATGCAATTTCTGGAAACCATACATTTCCAAACAATAATGCACAAAAGGCACACAGTTGTGAACAGAATGAGGAAGTGCCCTTTTGTTATCCAGCAACACAGGTTCTGTTAGTAACAGTTGTCATTCCCATCACTGACATGCTATGCCTTGGGAAAAGGTTTGTGAAGCTATGGCCTGGCTTGCATAGAGCTGAAGGTCAGAGCACAGGCTAATTTAACAGAATTTCTGCTCAGATTTGAATTCACAAAAAACTTTTCTTCATACTCTTCTAAGATTTTTGTTTTCTGCACTATACTGAGGAGTTTCTGAGGCTTTTAATCATCATCTCTATTCCTTTCAGCATCATTGAAAATAAGGTGAATTTGGAATTCTTTGACATAAACACATCTGAACACATGCAATGCTTAAATCTTATAACTAAAACTGCTAAGTGTCAGGGAAGTGTTTTGGAATACATCCATTACTGGGAAGAAAAAAATGTTATTCATTGCAGTCAGAATGGATGAAAGAATAATTTTCTTACCTATTTTGGTTGCACTGTATATATTTTCAATAGGAAAAGCTCCTCCTAAGCTGTATAGTAGAACTTTTGCAAGTGCTGGGATAAGCTGGGTTGTTGTTACCAACACGTTTACACAATTACTCCTAAAATGAGAGAAATAGTTTAAGTTTAAATAGTTTTAAAACAGTACCCAAATATTGATGAGATGAACCATCTGTGGAGAGCACATTAAGGATCCCTCAACATTTACTTCCATTCACACAGTACAGCTGCTCAGCACCATCACTTACAGAAAATGTACATAAAACCACTGGTGAAAGCCTTTAAAAATATGTAGGCCTGATTTGCAGGAAATATTCCACACTGGTTTATAAAAAACATGTCTTTCAAGGTGCATTGAAAGCATAATTTCATGCTGGCAATTAATGGTCAGTAGCTACCAGCAAAATAAAAGGTTTAAGAGAATGCAACCAAACCATGTTTGGTTGCTCTTTTATCTATCTTTTATCTACACTTTTCTCCATAATGGCATTGCTTTCTTCAAATTTAAAGAGTAAGAATATCTCTGAAGAGAGGGAGAGGTAAGAATGATCATGTTAATAAGCTAGCATTGAATGGTGAGGATGAAAACTTGAATGGAGAAGTTGTGCAGGCCAGAGAACTCAGAGCTGAGATACTTTTGGCACTCCCAGGCTGGAACATGAGCATGGCCATGATGGAGACATGGAGCCAAAAGTAAATACTTGTGACTTTTCCTTCTGGCATTTCCAGAAATTCCAAGCAAGACCTTAGACTGCTATTTTCACCTTTATTTATCTCAACTTCCCATTATAACATATCAGTAATGTTTAATTGAGTCACAGGTAGCTTCTGAAGGTTTACAGTTGTACAGTTCTTTGAAGACATGACAAGACTATTACTGAACAATCCTGAGCGAAGGATAAGTTTTTCAGACTCATCCACCAATGCTCAAGTGGCCTTCATTACCAAAAGTCTCTCTAAAGACTAACAATTCAGAAAGAAATGCAGAGCTAAATACAACAGCTTACACAAATTTGTTACTTTTTTTCTCCTGAAGTGCTTCACATATTGTTAAATATACAATTAAGAGATAAGCATATTGCAAAAGTTGTTATGTTGAAATCAAGGCTTTTGTGTCTTTCCCAGTTTGTTCTTTCCGCTTGACACTGACTCTTTTCCCAGACATGTTCAGAAAGCAAGACGATTTAATGTTCTTTTTTGTCGTTTAAAACTAGCATTTTTTAGGATGTTAAGACACATATTGCATGGCTTACTAAGCGGCAGCAGGGTTCACAGTTTTATTGTTTCAGAGGAACAATATGTTTTATGTCTCAATATTGGGAACTCAGACTCTTAGTTAAAAGAGATTTTTGCTCTTGTGAAACTAAGACATACTGGTTTGCTTGAAAAGACAGAAGAAAAATGCCCTTATGTTCTGGTATCTGTACAGTATTTAGGTTGCATTGTGAATAGGCGCAAACATTGGAGGACAGAACAGAGAGCTGTGGAGTTCAGAGAATGCTGTCCACAAGGTAATAAATTAAAAGCTGTCTCAGAATTCTACAATACACTTTCAATGTACACACGTTTGAGAAGACATTTAATACTATCTTTAGTAGGTGCTGGAATCAGCACAAATTAAACCACTTTCCACTTTTCCTGTGTTCTATTCAAAAGTCATAGTAGACCTGTTCTGTTTTTTAAAGGCACTAATTTATTGTAATCTAAAATGTAAAAAAAAACCCATTACATGTCTAAAAACTAATTTTACAGCAGACTCGGATACATACCTTGTGCTGATAATTGATAATGATTTAAGTGCATTTGTAAGCCAGGAGTCTGTTAGAGCTTCAATCTCTGCTCTTAATTGCAACCATGCATCTCTTTTAGCAGGACCCAGGAGTCCTTTAATGTAAGAAAAGTGAGAAAAATAGAATTAAATTCTGTATCAGATAGGGTTTATGGTCATTGTTTCTATTTTAAATTCCACTACAACTTGAAAAAAAAATCAAAGAAAATCTATTGTCTTCAATAATCAGGAAATCATAGATTTTATTTGTACTTCACTATATCAAGGAATGTCAGATAGTATTTCAGATAATAATAATAATTAGTTGTATTTCTTTATGTATCAGGCTGCATTTCAAAGTATTCCTTTCAGAAACATATTTTTAAACCAGCTCCTCCCACATACATTATTCTCATTATCAGCGGCAGTGACAAGGACATCCATGTCATTGGGATCATAGGTGAAGATGGTCACAAAAGAAGATACTTTAGAAACAACTGTTTAAAACTGCCCTACTTATGACTCTGCAGGTAGTACACATACAGAAATACATTTGTTTGCTGATGGCTTGCTCTTCATGTCCTGTTGTAGTTGGTTCCTTTTACAGCATTTAGATCCTGAAATGGCTGCACATCTTATGTTCTCATATCTCAGCTGGTCCTTAGAAGTTAGTCCTCAAACATCTCTTTTTGGGTATAAATTGTCAGACATTTAAAAATATCCAGCCTGTTGAATGTTGAGATATGAATTTGCAGGAACCAATGTATTTGAAATGTAGATTCAGAAGAGCAGAGAAATAGGCTTTCTGACCTTTAGTATCCCTCTTCTCTTTCACACCCTACAAGTGATGATGACTGTCTTCAAAAATCAGAAGTGAAATAATCTAAAAATATATGGATTAATCTTGCCTTATAATTTCTAGCAGCTCTTTTGAAATAAACAAATATCTGTAAGTTAAGAAAATCATTAAAAAGGCTAAGATGTGGAGGACAAATGAAGAAACCTGCCCATTAAGGGTGGTTTCTATTTCAGATGCAGGATATGTGGGAGACAATAAAAACCTTAATCCAGTGCACCACATATCTGCACTCTGTTTGCAATGTTTTGTTCCTCTCAGTGCGTTTCCCTGTGCAGTGCTCTTGGACTTGTTCTCTTATCACTGTTAAAGGTTTTATGAAACGCAGCAGCTTCAGAATCTTAGATGCATCAGGAGATACAAGAAAACCCAGTAAGCTTTTGGTTAACACTGTTTAAAGAATTATTAATACATAACAACTCTATTCACAACACCAATGAAAGGCAAAGTAGGGCAAGTGAAAGTCAGCCCTCTACTACCACTCTTTGGTCCTATTCTTCCCCCTGTGGTAAGGAAACACTGAACTCCTAAGAGTGAAAATACATGACTGTAGCAATTACTGAAGACTTCTAAGTATTCCTTGTCTTACAGTCTATTGTTGAGGGGGTCAGTTGACACATTTCCCTCCTCAGAAGCAGGCTGTCTGTCTCTGCAAGGCACACAGGACTCTCCAGAACAGATTCTTTTGGGTCTGCTGCCTGTTGCCTATAATCTGCTAGTGCTGACATAAGTGAGTCCATGAATTAAAGCAGTAACAGCAAAGTTATTGTCCCATATGAGATTTGGACTTACTGGAGACAAAACTGTGTAAGCTCCAGTCAACAAAAGGGAATATTGCCATGACAGTGATAGAGTTTTCTTGCATCCACTGGTGAAAATAGACTATGAGGTACCCAGCAGAAAGTTTAGAAGTTTAGTGTTGTTACCAACCAGATCACGAAAACGTAGGAAGGAAATGGCCATCCCCAACCAATTTGTGCTGTGAAACTATACAATGTCTTTCCTAGAACAACAGCAAATCTGAGGTAGTCTAAGTGGTTCAACAAACCAGTAAGGTTAAGACTAGCTGGCTCTGAGGGAGGAAAATGAGCTCTGTGGAAGCTAAATGGAAGCTTGCTTTGTTTTCCCAACTGCATTTCCCCTGCAAAGCAGCATGTGGCTTTGCCTTTATAGTCAGTAGCTTTCTTCAGTCATATCACTCTCCATTCCCTCTGGGACTTCCCAGCTTCCTTCCCTGCGACACAGCTCATCACCATGCAGCTCAGACTGATCAGCATTCAAAGTTGGTTTTGATAATTGAACTCACCTCCTATGTTGTTCTTGTAAGTATTATACAACTCTTTTACTCTTCTGTAACGGAAAGCCAGCTTCCTCATCCAGTCAACCCCTCCTCTTACACCTGTTGGCAGACAAAGGTTTGCACTACTTGCAGCTGCATGGAAGCCATCAGTTGCAAAACTGTAGGTACTGCAAACACCCAAAATACAGTAAAAATAAATACAATGTATTCCTGTAAATGCTCAAATTATTTCATCTTAAAAATAAATTAAAAGAAAAGAAATTTCTGTATCTTACCTTAGGTCTTGTCCATTATCATCTGAAGAAACATCATCTATATGAACTTGATCGCATTCCTGTTAGAAAGAAAAGAAAGCAAACCTAAATGACAAATTTATCTTATGAGAGAGTGCATTCTTATGGAAGCGTCCAAAAGGTGTGTGGATGCGGCACTTGGGGACACGGTTTAGTGGCGAGCATGGTGGGCTGGGCTAATGGTTGGACTAGGGGATATCAGAGGTATTTTCCAACCCAAATAACTCTGTGCTCAGCACGGGCTTAGTGCGGATGAAGAAATGACTGGTGCAGGCCAAGGACTGCACCAGAAGGTGGCAGCCTGTGCACACCCAGCGTCCTACTGCCATCAACTTGTTTAAAAGAGTAAACTTCAACTTCTACACAGTGCAAATCACTAGTTAAAACATACCTTCAGAAAAGCAATATGCAATTTAGAGGTGATTTTTAGGAGTAAATTTATCTTAATTGTAAAGCCACCAGAATTGCAAGTCTCATTTACAGCCTCCCTAGTACACCAATACTTGAAAATCACATAAACCTTATTTTCCCACTCCCTAAAAGCAATTGATGGTGAACCTCAACAGTTGTAAAACTTATCTTAAGTAGTTTGGACACTTATTGGGTTTTTATTTTAATTTATGTGAGTGCCTTTGGATGGAAAATCACATATAATCAGCAATCCTACAGAATTTGATTATTTCCTGGCTTTGGAAGGGATGGAAAGAACTCGAAGGAACTGAGGTACATTGGAAATACGAATTCCCCTCCAAGATGATTTTACAATTGGACAGCTATCAAATGTCCTTATCTGCACAGTGGTTAGAGCACAAAGATAAGAAATTGTGGTGAAAACAAAAGTAAATATATAAGCCAAGCCATCATGCATTATATAATTGTTTTCAATAGTTGCTGGAACTAACATCTTAACCCAAAGACACACCTGAAATTCAGTGTCCATTTAAGTCAGTACTTAATTCAGGCTCTCTGTGGCATGCAGGGGTATGTCCTTCTAGGTTTCCAGTCTTTGTCTCATAACAAGGGTAAATTGTACAGACAAAGGATAAATCTGAACAGAGGAGTGATTTCCAAATGTGTAAGACACAAGTTCCTAGAGTGTGAATTTAAGGAATTATCATTTCATCTTTCTACTTTGTTTGCTTTCCAGTGAACAAAAACTTCAGAGATTTCTACTTGCATAAACTAAGCTGTTAAAAAACAGGCAATTATGTATAAAAAAATACGTATAATTTAACTTTCAAATACATAATTTCATTGCATCATACAAATAATAATTTAAAATATTGGGCCAAAGCTCAAAGAAAGAGTTACCAAGCTCTGCTGATGTGGCTTATTCCATTAAGATAGGATAATAGAGCTGTGTTCAAGGAACAGGAATGAAGCATTCTTCCCCTCACTGGAGAAGTAAATTTTTTTAGATCTGTCTGAGGAGATTATCTGTAGAATACTTTAAAGAAGCTATTTTTGCACATAAATAGCAGATGAAGAGAGAAAGCAAAGGGAACATGGCAGCTGAAATAAAATATTATTTTTTTTATCTTTATTCATCATTTACACTCCAGAAAAAAATGCAACTATGCTTCACCCAGTGTAGGATAGGAACTCAAAAATCAGACAAAAAACCTGACTTGTAAAAATTTTGACTCTGTATGTTGCAACATCTGGGCAATATCAGGCTTCCTAATCACCTTCACAGATTTTCCTGGAACTAGTAAAAGTGTTAAGTTTAAAAGTTTAAAAATACTGTGGATATGAAAGTATACTAATTAAATGGAAGGCACACAAAAGCCTTGATGGATAAGGAGTGTCTGCTGCTGTTTGGGTTTTGTTAAGCCTTTCAGCTACATTGTTCCAGCCTTGAAAATTCTAGGTAACTGTTCTGCTGATAATGTCATTATTAAGTTAAATATGAGTGGGTGGCAAAAGGCTCAGCTGTTTAATTTTTTTTGGTCTCACAGTTGGTTCATTGTGATTCTGTGATTGACTCCAGAAACAGGATGAGGGGACCATGCAGTTTTCTGATTACTCACCCCTTTGTCCCTGCAAGAAGGTTGTTAATATAGGAGTCAACATATATGTTATATAGGAGATCAAACCGAACAGCACTGTCCAACTTCCTCTTTTCCCCCTTCCTCCTCTCCTCTGGATCTATGGCTCATCTCCTCTCTACATGCTGGCAGTACACATTTTCTGACCAGCAAACAAGCTCATGTGCCCATCACTCTTTTTTTTTTTTTAACTTTGCTTTCTTGTTTACTTATCTACTTCAACTAAAATGTTTACCTTCTACAAATCCACTTACATGGTGTAGAAAAATCTTGCTATAAAAAAAAAAAAGAAAAAGCAGGCAGTTTGAGCAGATTTGAGATAGTTCTCTACTTTTCTCAAAAGAAATAGGAAACTGAGTTTGCTTTTAGATGACACCAAAGAGTTATGGGAAAGAAAGAAAACTCTCTGTCAATTTAAATATTAAGGTAAAATACTTTTTTCATATCAGCTATGGTACTGGTAAGCTCAAGTCACAGTGGCTGTCAGTGTAATGTGAAAACTAAGAAACATAAAAATACATTTCCTGTTAGAGCAAATAAAGGAATCTAAGTATAATATCTAGCTTTTGTTTGAAGCAATACTAATTAAAATTATATCTGAATGCAGTAAATTCTTTGCAGCAATTTTTAGAACCTGAAAATTTGAGAGTAAAGGATCAATACATCATCCATAAAACTTATCATCTTGGACCAGACAATAATTTTATTATCCAGTAAAAACGCTGACTTACAAAAACTGAACAAAAACTGCACTATGCTTTCTTAGACTATACCAACAACCCCTTTTAATATCTATGCTTCAGTCTCTGTTAAAACTAGTCTTACCTGCCTCCCAAATTCTGAGACATATCTATATCTTATTTTTAATTTCTCATTTATATTTCTAGTGAGGAAAAAAAGGACAAAATTTCCTTTAAAATATGATAGGATAATGATAAAAATTGAAATATAATTCAGTTTGTTTGAAACTAATACTCTTTCTTTTTATTGACCTGAGAGTGGAATGGAATAATGGAGTTGGAAGATTCATGTCTGAGTTACTATTTGCAATTTGCAGAATTTTTGTGTCTGTAATAGGCCTTACCAACATTTCTAAATGCTGTCTTAAAATTAATACTGAGATATGAAGAAAAACTCAATTTTATTCCTCACCTGGTTGAAAAGAGAATGTCTTAGTTTGGCCATTATTATAAATCTGAGTCCCATCCCTAAACGTTGTTTAGACACATGAACTTTCTGGAGCACCAGACTCCTATTTTCATGGCAAAACACCAACTGCCCTCCCAAGTGATGCTTCTCAAGCTAACTAAAATTTATACCCTGACAATGCAGTAGCTGGAGAACAGCCTAGCCTGAAATAAAAGTGCAGCTTGGCTGATTAGAACCCGGGTTACTGGGTCAGCAGGGAATGTCTCAGCAGATCGGAATTTCTGCATCAGCAGTCACTGCAGTGACACGGATTTGCATAGAGGAAGGAAAACTTTATTTTTGTAAGTGATAACTTCAATAACTTGGTTATTATTCCTAGAACCTGCTATTCAGTGTTTGTAACCAAGAAAGACAGGGAAAAAAAAGAAAGTGGATGTAGTGACTGGAGTGAATATTACAGGTCCACAGGTTCAGTAGTACTATACAGTTGTCATGTCCAGAGCCACAAGGTTTACTGTGGGCTGAAGGTGAAAGCAAGACAGAAGGTGTGGAACCCGAGGGCTCACCACTGAAAAAGTGACATGATGAATGGATAAGCAATCTGTCTGCCTAGAAAATAAAGGACTGTCTCAGTTCCTCCAGTGAGAACTGAAGGTCTTGTGTCTTGATGGCCATGATCATCAGCAGCTCAGCACTCATTTCTGCTCCTCAGAGGGAGGACAGAGAGAGGAAGACAGAGAAAGAGAGATGGGGAGAGGAGGGGAGATGAGGGAGAGAACCCAAGTCAGACTCTGAGAATTCTCAGAGCTCATTACACATTCATCATGCAGATGCACTTTAATATTCAGTAATGCCCATGTGCTCTGCAAACAGATTTAAACAGACAGGTTTATCCATCAGCATATTAAAGGATGCCTCTACATACCTGGGCACTTTATCCTATTTGCCAAGAAGATAGAAAATTGTGGTCTTCTTGTACATACTGAAATGCATGCTTACAACTCATTTCAGCACATGAACCCTCTACATACCTGGGCACTTTATCCTATTTGCCAAGAAGATAGAAAATTGCTGGTCTTCTTGTACATGCTTACAACTCATTTCAGCACATGAAATTTGGAATTTTGGTAATTTTGTGAGAGTTTGTTTTGAAGCCAAGATGAATTCTGCGCCATAAAGTATTAAATTTCTTGTAGAAATTGTGGTTATTAAATATTTATATATAAATTGCTTTTAATCAAATCAAACTGATTGATTTACGAGACTCTCTAAGACAGCTCCCAAGTAGTATTTTTTTATTTATCTAACACTGGAAACTGTTCAAGCTCTGGAATGAGCTGGCATATGAGTTTTTGGACGGGGCTATTAAAACCATCCTATGAAGATTAGCCAAAATGTAATGATCCACCAATGACAGCTGAACTTGTGATCTACAGACAAAATAAATAATGAGAGAAAGGAATGAAGTTTCAGTGGCCATAAGCAATAATGAAGAGGTATGGAAAGAGGGAAAAGCTCCATTTTGCTGAACTCTTCCACCTGAACCCAGCACAACACTGAAGAACAGATTCTACTGAATGGCTTAAATTTCGTTCATGCCATATAAACTCTGAACATGCAGGGGGGCAAAGGTCTGCTAAAAAGAAATTTAAGAAATGCTTTGAAAATTTTATTTGGAATCTCCCCTGGTATAGGGCACCAGAAGGAGACATTCACTGAACGGACTTGCATTGTCAAGAGATGTCTCACCAGGCCTGCAATAAAGCACACACTGAGAAAGGCATGTCCAGGGCTTTACTTTCTTTGGTTTCTGCTGCTGCGAGGAGGAAGTGCAGTTCAGGTGTGGGGTGAAATAGATTCCAGTTCCTTGATTTAAAAAGAGCTAAGAATAAATGAGATCTGCAAGGGATGATGAAGACAACAGCAAACTGGTACCTTCTGCTTTTCTTACTGCCTACTAATGAAGGAACAAAAGACAAAATCAACATCCCAGTGGATGGAAAAATTTCACTTTATTTTGTCTATTGACTCACCAGAGACCTTTCTCTGGGATTCTAAACAAAACCTCGAAGTCTTCCAGCTCCCATTCATGGTAAGTATCTGTCCATTGAGGGAAGTCTGGGATCTACTCTGAGTAAGAAAACAACCCTTTTAGACCAGCAGAAGGTCTGAAAAACCCCTAGGTTATTTTGAAAACTCATTGACTTGACACACATGGTCGTAGACTGTCAATGTCTATGTTAACAGACCCAGACTCTAAGAGTGAAATAAAAAAGCCTGTGAAGCCCAGCTACAAGCCTGCTTCCCAGACCACTGCCCCTGTGAGAGTCCATGTATATGCTTCTGACAGGTGAGCTGCCCACAGAGGGCACTTCCTAGAAAGAGGTCTCTCCTTTTTCTGACCAATTGCCAAATTATACTCCCTGGGTACATTGTGACAATACATTGATTGCCTGGTTACCTTGGGAAGGGAAATCACTGATCAGAACATCTATCACAGTCCCAGCTCTCTGATGCTGCATTCTTTGATGTAAATGAAGAATATTCTACATTTGAACAAGTAACAGGGGACTGTAGCCAAAAGGCTGCTGAGGTGTGCCCAGAGAACAGTCTTCTGGTCAGATGAGGGCACCCACTGAAAGCAAATGAATACGGAGAACTTCAAGAGAAGAATGTGAGGCATGTATGTTACCATCCTGGAGATGACAGCAGACAGCTTTACACACGTGGAAACCAAAAAAGATGGACAAAGAAAGGAATGGGTAGTTTGCAGATTCTCTCTCATTGAGTTTCACAGAAGGACTCTGGTGCCACCGCAAGTCAGTGTCACCTGGCAAACCTCTCTCTGATTAGAATATGACAAACTCAAAAACTACATAGGCAGAAGTGTCACACACAATTAACACACAAAGCCACAAAGTTAAAAATCAAGAATAACAGTGCTAGCATTCCTTTGACTCTTACCTCTAAATCGTTAAAAAATAAATGTGTGTCAGCAAGATTAAAAATCATTTCTTCCATTCGTAGTCCAAGGGTCACTGCCATGGGTGGATCCTTAAAAAACAAAAAAACAAGGTTAGCTTGTTATATACCTCTAAGTTATATTAGAATTACTTAAAAATTGATGTATATAAAGTGTTTCAAAAAATTAACACTGTAAGAAATTTCACTGAAATCCTTTCAGTATTAAGCTATTTTAATATAATGCTGTAATAAGACTGCTGAGAAAATTCAGAGAGCTGTGGATATGAAAAAATAAATTTTTTTAAAGCCGAGCAATTTGCAACCTGGCTGAACTGAAAGGAAAAAATCTGATGGCCATAAACATATACATAAACATAAACAAGTATAAAGAAGACTGCAAACAGGGACGGTACTTTTCATAAAAAGATGTATGTAGGAACATACATTCCCATGGAAAGCATATATAAGTTTGTTGTTTGCTACAGGTCATCCCTTCATTGCTGATGAAACACAGGAATCCCGTCCCTGGATAAGATTAATTCAAAATGTTGCATTTGTTTGTAGGTTGTCTTTCACACTCTCAAATTGCTCTGCCTCAGCAAGACACTATAAATCTCCTGATCTGCAATAACACTGTCTGAGAGCATTAAGTGTACAGCTAAGGCAAGATAATGAATTCAAATTTTCTAGGTTTGTTAGGAGAGAGGTAAAGCACATTTGTTTTAGAGTAATGGTCCCTGGTGCTTTGCTGACACCTAGTAATTAGTTCGATTGTTGCCTTAATCATCTGCCTGAGTTTATGTGTTTCCGTTAACTTTTTATGCTTAACACAACTGCAGTGAACTTTTAAAACACTCTTCTCATCAAAATATGAAAAAAATATTTCATCATTTAAACTCTGAATGACACAAGGAAGTTTTCAGAAATCCCTTCTTAAATATCTTGAGATTTAAGGTCTAAATATTTACCAGCATGTAGCAACAAAATCTCACAAAACCTCAAATGATCATTTGTTAGCATTAGGATGAAAGGCTTCCCAACCAGGATCAGACACTCACTACTCCAGGGCTTTGCAATGACGGAATAAAAGATGGCTTCTGCATTCAAGCACTTAATAACTAATGGTAAAATCTGAAACACTGACATACTTTGACTGTTGCTCATGAAAAAGGCATACTTGAAAGGGAGAATAGTTTTCAAGAAGTTGTAACAATCCAAAGTTAGACGCAATTCTCTAGCAGTGAAAAGAAATGTTTTTATGTTGACCCTTGAACTGGTCTAGACTACCTTATAGAAGCATAAACCCAACACAGTGCCCAGGAACAAAATTTTATCCCTTCCGTCTTCTGTAGTAATGTTCACCAGATTTGAAAGACACATGGCTGAAGGCAGCACCAAGTGCAAAGGTCAGATTTCCAAGAGGATGATTAAGGAACACCATTAACAGATTAGCAAAACTCATGTTAGGCACTGACAATACAAATCACCAAAATACCCTGGACTCATGAGATTCCTCATCAAGCCATAACCCTTTTATCAAAATGTCATCAGATATAAAAACGTCTGTCTATTTCATTTGCATTTATTTTCTGTGCATCACAAGCTATAAATCTTTTCTCCCTACATACAATATAACAGAGAGTATTTGCAACACACTTTTTAACCTCAATTCCATGAACACAAAGGCATGTGCATAATTTTATGCACAGGTGGTAACTCATTATTATTTATATAAGTTATTCACTGGAGTGCTTCCAAAACTGGAATCTCAGACATTTAATTCTCAGCCTCTTTTTTACCCCTTCCTGGGTAGAAGCAGACTTGAATGCAGGAATTTCCTATAACCTTTTCTGCTATAATTAGATTTGTTTTTACAGAAACTACCAGCTATGTATGACAATTTCCTGCCTTGCCTAATAGAGTTGAAATATATAAATGTGACAAAGCTCTTATGATTTTGTTATTAATAATAGTTTTGTAACCAGTTATGCCTGACTATTACTATTAAAATTATATTTCCTACATTCTTGTTTTGACAAAGGCATGAGAAGGCTATTGCTAGGTACAGTATGTAAAATAAAATAAAGCAAAGCAGAGGGAATTACTTTCATCTTAGCATAAAATCACTCTGGGATCTCCCTGTACTTCTGTTAGGGAGAATTGCTGGAATTTAATTCTCAAGATATGAACAATTCTTCCCTTAATAAATTGGCCAAAACTTTTCCCTGAAACTGTTTAACAAGAACTAAAATTTATGTTCTATCCAGCTCTTGCTATATTATTTCCTTCACATTAAAAAAATAGACAAGAAAGCAGATTTGTAAGGGTCTCATGGCTTTATAATGTTTGCACAATATGGAGGAACATGACAATCATCATTTTACTGTCTTTCAGCCTGAAGCAGAAGCCACAGACTGATCCAAGTGGCACAAAGGGCTGAGTGTTGAAAAGAAAGCAAGAAACTTGCAATTGATACAGAACTTAGCACAGAAAATTGAAAAACTTAGTAAGAGGCAGACTGAACTTCTGTCAAAATTGTATTTTGTGCTACTCTGCACAAGCACACACAATAGAGGAAAAAAGGATTAAAAAAAATATCTGAAAGTTTTCCCAAGATAATTCACAGAACAAAGAACAACTCTTTGGCCCGCAGAGGTATGATGTTAGCCAGATATCATTAGTGTGCAGAAGAATCAAGACCAGCTACAACACTTCTGTACACCTAAATACAAATTACTTTAGTTATGTTAAGATGAAGGCACTAAACTGGAGCCAGACTGTCTGTCTGTGGACTTCTGTACCAGACTGGTCCATCCATTGGAATGCCTCCTGGGAGACTAGATAAAAATATCCTGGGAGGACCAATACTTAAATGTTTTGATCAAGGGGAGAGTAACTGGAATAAAGCCCCAAAAGCTCAGTGTCCATTAGTGGAAGAGATGTATTTAATACTGTCTTGGAATGTCAGGTTTCAGCACATGTTCAAAAGAATTTCATTTCTTGGGAAAAAAACTTCAAACACCAAAGTGACTTTAATAAAACCTTGGAAAACAAAGAGATAAATAGACTGCCAGGTAGAGTCATTGTGACAGGAATTTGCATGCATGAAGCCTTAAAAATAAGCAAGAAAACAAGCAAAATTTTAAGAAGTTATTTTCAATGGGTGGCTGTCCTGCACAGACTTAAAACAAAACTGACCTCAGGAAAAAGTGGAAATGCTGACGTTAAGTACCAATGTTTTGGCCTAAAGAGACTTCTCTATACTATGTAGGAATCTCAGATTTAAGTTCAGCCCTCACTCTCTCATAGGGGACACTTGTCCCAGGAGAAATTCATGTGGGTGGTGATGGAGGAAGAGATCACATCTGTTCTTGATAACCATAGCTGGTGGCTGATGAAGGGAAACTCACGTACTCCATAGGGAGTTTCTGTTCCACGCTCTCTAGAAGGCAGGAGGAAAATCAACTCAGAGGCCTCAGACAAGGAGGGAGTGAATGGAGAGGACAACTGGAGGTGATGAGAGATACACTATTAATACAGGTGGACAACAGAATATTTATGAGTGAATTTGGGAGTGCCATCATGGGTGTTAATGGTGACAAAGCTTTTTTGTTTAATGACCAGACAACCAGACAGTCAGTAGTAAAAAGCTTCTGAGCCCTTTCCAAATAACTGCACAGGGTATTTAATGAGGCTTCCTTGACAGCTTTCTGTCATTTCCAATATTATAAAAAAATGGCAAAGTATCATCGTCAAGTGTGGATTTGTTTTGATTTTTGCACTTGGAAATCACATTCTCCATCTTCTAAGCTCACAAAGGAATTTTATTCTTCTTCTAAAGAGTTGCACTTTGAGACACAGCATTAATCTGGGAATCCTTGCCCTCTGGATTGACCTGGGAGAAATGAATAAATGCTTGGAGCTAGAAAAACTCCAGCTTAATCATCTTCAACCAGCAAGAATAACTGGAATGCAATGGAACAAAGAATACACACTGTTCAGAGGGAATAAGAATGTACCTCATAAACTTTCAAGAGATGATGACATCTCCTAACAGATGTCCTGTCACATCAACCAATGCTCACTTAAGAGCCCAGCATTGTAGAAAACCTTATCTGTCAACTGGTGCTCAGCTGCAAAACCCATCATCCTCCACACAAGTCACAGTGTAACAGCTCCAATGCCAGCGTTCACAATTTGCTACTGCAGTAAGTAATTAAAAATAGAAGTGTACTGGTTTCACGAAGTACAATGCAGATGAGCAAATGAGTGGAAAAGTGAGAGGTGATCTTACTGCTGGAAGGCAGCACAGCTTTCCTGAAACCTAACACAGGTGTAGTTTTTATTCTCTTTCTATGTTAGCCCAGTAGAATAACCAATATACCAAAAGCCAGAGAGAAACAGCCACAGCTAGAAAACAGCAAGGCATGGAATACTCTCCTGGGAAAGCTTTATATTTTAAATGCAGAAGTGATACACTGGCCAAATTCTGGATGAACCTCCCCCAGTTCGGTTGGGTTTAAAGCTATACTCTACTGGCACCCAGATAAACAGCAGCAATTTGCCCCATTTTGAAAAAGATGCTCACAGTTGCATCCTTCAGCAAATCACTAATTCTGTTTTAGCATGCTTATTATAAAATTTTGACATCAAATAATTATCCTAGAAAATTTTGGCATCAAATAATTATCATTCCATGCAAAGTGCTGTACAAATATATATCCAGGAGAGTGTCCATTCTCAGCTTCATAAAGCCTTCCTTAGGCATAAGTCAGAAATCTGTTGTTCTCTTGACAAATACACAACCTGAAACTTGCCTACTGGATCCAGGCCTTCCAAATAATCTCTGGCAACGAAAGTCCTCCTTGCCTAAGGAGATCCTGGTTTGACTTTCCTTTTTCTCTTCTACTCCAACCACTTGTTAAACTGTAGAAATCTTTTGAAAGTGTTTATTTCCAGACACTCTAGTTTCCAGCTCTCTAGTGCTCCTGCACTCACACGTGGATCCCTATGCCAGGCCATCCCTATGCCTCTCACTGCATCCTTGTGCAGCCTGAACTGCAGCAGAACAGAGAGATTAAAAGACTAATTCCTGATATTTTTTTTTTTCACCTACCACTTGAAAAAACAGGGAAAAGCTGGTGAAAACAAGGAATGAAAGTTTTTATGTCAATGAGTACGTAAGAAAGAACTGAAAGTCAATATCCTTCTAAGTGTGAAGTGAGAACACTTGGTAATAGAAGTTGCCTTCCCTTAAAGCAACGTTTGCATTAATGACATGCTATTCTCATGTAAAAAATTAAAAATGGGAGAAGGGGAAAATTCTGCTTGTCCTGCAAGGGGGTTTTTTTTGGTGTAGTTTCTCTTTTTTTGTGAGTACCTCGACTATTTTATACAAAATGGGCTCATGAAATATATGTGGAAGAACATGGTATTCACAGTTGAGCATCTGTGTGACATTAGATGCCTTTACTTTTATAAATCAGACAGCAAATCATCACAGTTAAATAATTTACTCTCTCCACTGTTTTACACTACCCTGTTTCTTTTTTCATTGTTAGGCAACAATTTTATACCACCTTTCCAAGACAAACAAAATTTTGAAAGACCAATGTGGTAACAAGACTTCTGCTGACAGCCTCACAATTCTTGGAGCATTTACTCTAATAGCAACCCAATTCTCATAACAATCCAATCTTCAGTCTAGATTAAGACCTTGTGTACAGATGGAAATCACAAGCAGAAAAGATAAGGACCACATGTGCTAAACATGTCATGTACCAGAGCTTAGTGAAGTCTGTCTGTGGGATCGTTCACTTCTCCCATTTCTAACCTCTTAGGCACTTTAGGCTGAGACACATCCCACCTTAAATATAGGCAACACTACAATGACATGCAAAAGCTAAAGCTTGCCCACTATAAGCTCTTCCTGCATTCCCTTTCCTACTGCTCTAGCTTCCTTGCAGTCAACAATATTTATATTTGACTTGCACTGGTAATAACTCATCACACAAGTACTATGTAAATATGGCAATGGCAGCCACTGCAGCAAGGAAAAAGTCTATTACTTTTATTTTATAGGGTTTGGAAATAAATATCTTTCCTGACTTGTATGGATATCACCTATCAGCACCAGGAAAAAAAAAAAAGAGAGAAAAAATAAAAAAGATAAAGAGGATTTTACACAAGAATTCTGCAATTACGTACCTTTTGCTTCTTTGTCATCCATGACACTTGATATTTGTTTACTGATGTTTATCTCAGTAGTATAACTACATTAATTTCATTAACCCTTGAGACACTTTTGGTTTATACAAGACTTTATCTGCTGTCAGTACTACTGTCTGTTAATATGCCATTACTAATTTATCAATTTATCTGTTGCTGTTTCCAAGACAGTTTTCAGAGTTATCCACAGATGTTTTGTGAGCTACAAAATGTGCTCTGATTTCTAAAACTATGTGTTACAGTTGATTTAGGAAACATCCAAAGGGCACAATCAAAAAAGACTGAAAGGAATAACTTTATCACTCTGCCAATTCAGCAAGTCCTGTGGTAGTCTATGGGCTACTCTCAAAGTGATACAAAAGTTCATGGTCAGCTAGGTTTCCCTCTTGTTTTGATAACCATTCGTTGGAAATGGCTCTGACAAAGTCACTGTTGCTACAATGTCTGAAAAACAGCAGAAGAGGATTTTTTGACAGAGTACTGAGAAGTGCACAGATCTGGCACTGGGAGGCTGCAAAGCAAGGGAGGCTGTTTTTTACAAGACACGAGGAACTATCCTTATCTTAGCATTCCAGAAATTCAGATTTTGCACTTGGCCTCTGACTTTTCCTGTTAACTTTCTTTTTTAATAACCACAAAAGGTTGATTGCATGGAAGACTGGTCCCCCTCTGGTTACAATCCACAGGTCCTGGCTTTGGACATTTCTAACCCACTGGTAGGTGAGGCGGTTGTGAGAAGCATTTCTGTAATGTTCTGTTTCTCATACCCTTTTCTCAAGCATCTGATTCTGGCTGGAATAAAGATGCTGAAAACATGCTGAACAAGCCCCTTATCTGAGGGGGACATGGTTATGTTCTTAAAAAGAAATACCATTGCATTAATTTCACTTGAACAGCACAGCACAGAGAAAACAACGTATGTACATACCAACATCGCCTTCGTCCATTTTCCTCCTTCCACATATTTGTTTGATTTTTTGTTTTATCCAGGCCCTTAGCTCTACTTCTTCCATTAGTCTGCTCCTGTTGCTACACACCAGACCCTTCTCACCTTGTCCAAGCAGGAATTCCCTGGACTCCCAGCACAGGTTTTGAGCTCCTGCAGTCTGCCATTGCCTCTCTTTGCCTCCCTCACTCTTCCTGCTCTCCCACTCACTGCTCTGTGACCTGAACTCCTTTTGGACTCATTGGAGGGAGAGGATGCTTAAAACTACTTGGGAGAGGGTTTCACTCCCCAACATTACTCACCCCAGAACCAGCCAAGGGAACCAAAAATTAAGTGAAAAAGGTGGGGAGTCAAAGAACAACATCTGCAGTTGGCATTGAAATAAATCAGACTCTTACTCATCCTATTCATAAATTTCCTGGTAAATTAACCCACCAGCCCAGTTTATTCCTTCTTCCTCTACTGTTCCAGATTCTGTCAGTTTTTTCCATTTGTGCACTTCATCTATTATCTCTCTCCAATGTCTCTTCCAATGCATGTCAGGAACCTCATCCTTGTTCCTCTATAAATTCTCTTATTTGCAGCATCTGCTTCAGCCCTGCCTCATGTACTGTATTTAGGGTCTGTGTCTCATTCCTCTCCTGGACTTTTTCACATTAAAGCTCTGAAAATGGGGTTTACTCTACACTCCATCTCTAACTTCACCCATAAGGGCCATAAAGAACACAGAGGTGAAAAACATGTACATAGTCAGGTCAGATAGCTGCAGAACTGACACAAAATTCACAGCTCACATACCTTGCCATACTTCTGTGCATAGGATCCTGTAAGCAGCGAATGAAAAACTATGATTGTTTCATCCAAATCCCAAACAAATACACGCTGAAAGCAGAAGAGAGGAAATATTATGCACAAACAACATCACAGTTCCACCACCACACCACCCAGGAAGACTAAAATTCAACTGACTCTAAAAGTTTAACCAAGTACTTATTAACTGAGCAGGTTTTCTCTGAAAATCAGCAATAGCAGTGTATCATGCATGGTAAAAAGTCAAAAGGCAGTAACTTTTTAACTCTTCAGCTATTTCTTATTTGTTCTCTAAAAAAGCTTTCCACAAAAGCTCTGTAATACTGATTTCAGAAATGTGATTGAAGATCAAACATAATTGTTAAGGATAAACAGTACTTTAAGATACTTCTCTGCAAGTCTAACTGAGTCAAGATTCTTTTTATTTCTAATGTATAACTAAAATTTTGGGTAAAAGAGCTATATGCCATATAGAATTTAAATAATACTGTAGATAAACAGATTATTTTAACTCAGTTTCATTCATTTAATTTCACTCGTTTTGATTCTCACTGGTAAAAATAATAAATTTAAAAAAACCCAATCAACCAAAAGAAACCCTGAAACGTAAGAAGTTAGTTTTTTCACTGGAAAAATTAAATCATTTGAAGACCAAAAAATAAAAAAAAAAGAAAAAGAAAAAATAAGTTTCTGTACAAAAGCAACGGCATTTACACTCAGATCCTGGTCCTTCAGCCCACCCTGCTACCCCAGGCTCTGTGGTCAGCCAAGTCCCAGCAACAATTTTGTTTTGTATCCAGGGCTGGTCAGTGAAGGCAGAGCAGTGGGCCAGGCCAGGGCTGCTGGCTCTCTGTGCTGCTCTGGTGGCAGCAGGGGACACACGGCACTGGCAGGCAGCACAGCACATCCCTGGTGCCACAGCTGGGGTGACACACACACACACACACACACACACACACACACACACACACACACACACACAGTCTGCTTCCTCCTGCTGCTCCTGCCACTGCAAGGCACAGCCATAACTTCACTGAGGTCAGCTCCTCACTGAGATCTGCTGATATAATTTACAAACACAAGCACAAACTGGCGCCTAAATATTTAAAAGGCTATGGCCAGGTGATCCTGCACATTTACACTGCATCCATAAATACATGCAATTAAGCTGAAAGACACATTTGAGATTTCTTATTTCAAAAACTAAAAGAAATTGTGACACTTTTGAGTAGAGGGCTGTGGTTCTATTGCACAAGAAACTGACAGACACGTAATGCAGAACAGTAAGATTTCACCGTAGATTAAAACAGCTACTACTCTCTGTTACATTCAGTTAGTAAGACTGAGTCCATAATGTCTTCTAAAATGCTTTAAGCTATTTTCACAGCTGCAGTATTCAGAATTTACACTTCATCAGAAGAAACCTCCACGTTAGAATTCATCAATTACCACAGACATACCTCCAAGTCACTGTCCGGAGGGGGTGATGGATTATTCTTCCGCCCTCTACCCCGAGACTTTGACCCAGAACTCCTACATGTTCTCTCATCAAGATCTTTGATTGGCGTGGAGGGGCTCTGCACTGTGTCAAACTCCCCTGTAGAGGCAACCATTCATGCCAAAATTAGTGCTGGATTTTTAAATAATCAACTTTTTTCCCTCAAAGTTCAACATGTCTGTATGCCAATGACAAGAGACGTAAAAATGTTGTACAAAAAGATTATAATGGGGCTTGTCGTATGTAGATGGGATCAGCAGATACCACACACACACTTTTGGCCTTACCAAGGAAACAGTATAAACCTTAGCAGAATAAGACAAAAAATTAAAATGACACATACACATGTGCATATACACAAATACACACAAGCCCAGGCAAAATACCAATATATCCAAGACAGGGGTATTTTAGAAGTCATACTAATGGTTTCTCAAAACATGAAGTGCTTTTTAATTAAAGTAGTTAATTTCCCATGTTTTCAGTTCAGCTAGACCTATTTCCAAGTCCTCCTTTACTTTTACCAGAACACACTTTGGCACTAATCCATGATCCAGAACAGCCATGCAGCTTCCAGTTTCATGTTCTCCTCCCATGTCACCTGCTCTTTAGTCAAGTTCACTTTTTTCTTCACCATACCTCAGCCCATAAATTGTCAGAGGAAAGTCATAATATTAAATGCAATATTCCAGTTAATTCCTGAAAGAGGATGAAGTTATGCTTGCTGTGTTCTGATTGTCTTTCTCTAAGTATGAGAGGGCTTTCACAGAGATGTACTGGAAGGGCCTTTGACCTGGTATGGCATAGCTGGTCTTTACCACACTCAAGCCCATCCCTGGCTTATCCATTTAATGAAGCTTAGCATATTCAGCTTTCAAAATTTCTATCAATAAATGCAGTTTGGCTAGGTTCCTGAGTGCTAAATGACAAAAAATTTAATTTTTTGTCCTCCTTTTTCATTTATCCTATTAATAATGATTTGATTTTTCTCCAGTAAAGGAGGAAAGGGTACGGCTTTGATCTGACATCTATGACAGATTTTGATTCAAGAAAGTCCTTGAGCTGTCTGTAATTGAGCATTCCTGGGCCATGGGTAATATTTGTTAAAAGTGCTCATGATGGCAAATATGCAGAATATATTAACACTTAGTACAAACATTTGCCAAAAATCATCTATGATGCATCTGATTTTGACTTGGAATCTGATTTTTCTTTTTTAATTTTTACTAAAGAGTATCAGAGGGTGTCCAGCAGATGAAGGAGACTGATTTCTCTTCTCTCTTCTGAACTTGCAAGACCACATCTGGAAAAATGTGCAGTTTTGGGTGCCCAGGTAGAAGAGAGTTATTGTCAAAACTGGAGTTAGGCCAGGTGAGGGTCACCATGACAGTTAAGGGGGCTGAGCATGTAGTAAAAGAGGCTAAGTGATTTTCATAGAGATGTGCAGAGAAAGGACAAGACACACAGGCAGAAATCCCTAAAGAATGGGGAGAGTACACAGTTCTTGTTGACTACTCATTTCTATTCCTGGCATAGTGTTGATGTCAGCAAGGTCACAGCAATCAATAAGGATCACATTATCTTGGCTCTTTCCCCATAAGAACAGCAAAATGTATTTGGGTAATTACAAATGTACAAGAGGCATCCAAATCAGAATCCCTATGCAGCAAAAACCTACAATGACTTTAAAATAGGTTCTGAGTGTGCAAGAGCTCAATGCATAAATAGTTTCTTACATTTTTCTGGTGGAGTGGAAAAATTGTATGAAACCAAACCCCCAGAAATAAAAAGCAAAAACTTGAAGATGAATGTTTACATTCTTACCACAAAAGTCTTCTTATTTATAACACTTCAACACATTACAACAAAATCAAGACTCATTTCCACAGTAATGTATTAAAACATCTGTTCTCAATGACTGTGTTTATTCTAATCTACCAGAAATAAAATATAAAAAAACCCCTGTTCTAAATCTTCTCTGAAATTACCCAACAACTGAAGTAAATAAATCTGATTTTCATTTAGCATTAGCCATTACCAGTTGCTCTAGGCTTCTGCTTGTGTCAATGCTGTATATGATTGCATAATTATCTATTAATCAGTACTGTAACTAATCGCTGTTCCTTGTAAAATCTAGGTATTTAAAGCCAACTTTATTTCATTACACTAATCTCTAAATCAGAATGAGCAGCTGTCTCTTACTTGAATGCAAGGTATGCATCTATTTTAGAACTGCAGAAGTCAGTGTTGCTTGTTTTTTTAAACAACTGTAGGCTTAATTGCTTGATTTGCTTTTTACCTACAGCAGTTTAAAGAAGAAAGACCACTTTTCTTATCCTCTGTTTGCTTTAGAAATGAGGTCAATGCTGACAAAATGAAAACTTATTAAAAATTCAACCCTGCAACATAAAAGAATGTGAGAAATTCTAGCACCAAAGAGTATTGAAAACATTACCATCATGAAGAGCTCCTACTGCAGCTCATAATAGACAGAAATTTTTATTACAATGTTTGAAATTTTTTAGCTTTTTCAATATTTCACACATGCCTCATAAATATACTTCATAGCCTCTTCCCACTGGGACTGTGAGCAGTGCCAGTGATCCAAGAAAACAGGAGGAAAAAAAACCAGAATATGGAATGACCTCTTTATCACAGACGTTCTTACACATATTCATACATTTGTCCAATATGAAGCTTTCATGCTGTGGAGACCTTGCAGCAGCCCCAGTTAGAGCACAGGAAATTACAGCACCAAGATACAAAGGGAATTACAGCACCACATTGCAAATGGAGGTGGTCTTTCACATCCAGGACATTGTTTCTCACCTCTAGTTGGATGATGTGAACATCCCCTCCTCCTTGTTAAAATACAGTTCTATGACTTAAGAATGAAAAAAAAAGAGTTTGTGCAGTCTGAATATAAATCTAATGCTATCTCCCAGAGTAGGCAAAAGGTGCAAAGTCACCTGCAAAAGGTGCAAAGTCACCTGCAAAAGATGACTTCATTGTGGGTACCAAATTAAGCCTTGCTGCATCCCAACAATGGAACAAAAGCTAATATTTTATGGTGATTTGCCTCCCCTAACCCTGGATATAGGATAGCAAGGTGCCTTCACAAGAAGGTTTTATCCAGGCCTGTATTCTCTGCTAGAGTTTTGTTTGCCCCAGATTAAATGTACTCATGTGTCCATCAAATATACTCAAGTGTACTTATCTCCTGAGACCTCACCTCCCAGTCCATCTGAGCTATCCCTGTTTGAGATGAAGTGCCTCAGGAGACACCTATTTATCTCACAAATACTCTGTGCTAATTAATGCATTTTGAAAAATTTTAATTTAAGGCAGGCTTAATGCAAGCTTGGAAGAGAAGTCCCTGGTTTAAGGAGCTGAGCATTACACAAATGTGGAATGGATGAATTTCTGACCCCCTTCATACTTTCCTTATGGATTGACTTTTGTTACATATCCTTACCAGACAGAGCAGAGCAGCCAGAAGACAGCTTCAATGTTACAGGCCTGCTTTTTTTTTTTTTAATTTTATTTTTTTATTTATTTATCCTTTTTTTTTTTTTTTTTTTTTTTATTTTTTTTTATTTATTTTTTTTATGACTTGTAGCGTGTTATTGTTCGTCATGAATAGCAGAAAGAATAAAGTCTACTTCAATTTTCATCTCATTTTCTTTAAACAGTCAATAAATAAAATTGTAGTGGTATTAAGTCTTCATCTGATGGGGCTTTATTATGCAAATGAGAAATTCTGTATGTGCAGATAGAACTAGAGGCTTTGATTCGATATTTGAATTAACAGCTAGTAGAGCTGCCAGAAGAATTAAGTGCCTTGCTGTGTTTAGTCTCAGGTTTTTGGTGGAGTAAGTCTTAAGGACTTGTCTGACAGCAAGTGAACACAGTGAGTGCTACAGCACTGCAGCATGATCTATGATATCTGAAATGATCTCCAAGACACTGCCCCTCACCAATGGAAATTTATTTTTACTGTGACACAGAAGGGCACAGGCATGTCATGCATTCAGAAAGTGGGTGTTCCACTCTCAGCAGAGGGCTGCATGATCACTGCAACCTTTCACAGAAATAAGGAGCAGACGGGGGCGGATTTGTTAAACTCTGATGCACAACCTATTTAACAAGAGAATAAGCTCATATGCTTAAACAATGTACAACCAAGAAAAACCTTTACCATTTCACAGACGTGAAGCCTATGAATACTTTTTCAACATGTTCAAACTATTTAAGATTCCTTTTTTTTTGCCAATTCTATTCAATACCAATGGTACTTGTAAAAATACATGATACATTTACACAGCATTTCTAGGAAACAGATACCTAGGGGAGAAACAACATGGGAAACTGTCTGATTTTCTCAAATAAGAATATGAAGGAAAAACAAAGCAGCAAGAGAAAGTACACAGGACATACACAGTTATCAAAACATGCAACTTGTGAGTACACTCCTTACTCTTTTAAAAATTCTTTACATTGATTTGTGTCTGCTATAGAAATCCTCCACCTGTTGAAATTTCACTTGATTTCACATTACCTTTAGGTTCTGCCTAGATTTGCATTCTGAGACCGCTGAATAACATTGCACTTTTCATTATAAATCAAGGGAATATGTATGTCCCCATCACTGTTCCATACAATATCCATATCCATATCTAACAATACTCCACCCCAAACATACACCCACAAACACATGCACTGTTACATTTTAAAAACCAGCCTGAGGAAAACATCTGAGTAGGAAAAATTTCAACTAATTTAGTTAAAATTCCAGTATTTTTAGCAAATTTAAGCAGTATATATTATGTGTGAGTCCTTGCTTAAACTTTTCTGCACAGTGTTACCTTTCCTTTGTGCAAATTCATTACAATAATACATTAGATTTTCTAATGTATTTTTCAATAAGCTGATGCAGTTTCTAGGAAGATCTATGCAATAAGGTGATCTTGTGACTAAAGCAAAAATTCCTTCTCTCTTCAGAGCTTAATCCAAAAGCCAGTTTGTTAGTCTTTTTAGAAACGGCAGACGCTGCCCACGCTGGCTGAGTGATGCCGGTCTGTGAAAGAGACCGCTCTAAGAGTGCTGAAGAAAAATTAAAAACTGCCACTACCCTCCAGGGATGTCCAAGGAATGCAAGTAGCAGCTACTGTGCTGTGGTGGCTGTGCACAAGAGGGCAGGGCTGGGCAGGCAAAGGGAGCCTCCGCATGTCTCCTGATAATGCTCTTCTTGCAAATTCAGCTACTTCAGTACAATATTTTTTATGGTGCTAATAACTAATTCCCCTATTCTTGATTACTTAAATTAGTGAATTAGCAAGCATGGCTTGTACCCCTTTGAATGAAGACCATGTGCTCTTGCCAGCAAGGCTGAGGTATAATTAAATGAAAAACAGTATCTTGTTTAAAATTCCTCACAACAATGCCTCAGACTGTGTAGGTGGGAACAGCACTGTCCCAGTGCCAGTGATACAGACAACCATCTCAGTCTGCAAAACGCTTTCTTTAATTAGCAAACAAACTGGACAGGTTTCCTAACTAAACAGTAAAATAACTTATTTTGGATGATTTACATGACAAAGTTTTTTGAAAGGCACGAGTGTAAGATGTCAACATCCATGCAAGCTGAATATGGAAATAATTTCTTTATAAAAACAGCGAATAAAATACAAAAATTGTTTCACCTGAATGTAGATCTGTACCTGGTTGACTAGTCAAGCCAGGGAGAGAGTCCTGTAATTGGTAGGTTGATGATGATGAAGTGCCATCAGCCGTGTTGTTTGAGGTCATATATGCACCATATGTTGATGCTGAGTAATACTGTGCATACTGATTTTGGCCAAAAGCTGTGTATGACGAATAATCCTGAAACAGCAGATGCAGCAGAGAATCCATTACATACAGTAATGACTGATTTTTTCCCATTAAATATTTCTAACTGTACAGTCATATGACTTTTGCTATTGTTTTGAAGGCTTCGTTTAGCTTTTTCTAAAATTTTTAAATTTAAGACTATTTGGTGTCTTTTAATTTAAATATATATTTAAAAGACTACAGGGAAGCTGCTGAAATATTTAAGTGCTAAAATATGTAACTAGGCTTCCAGTAAGATTTTGATCATTTTCCACAGAAAATAGCATTAAACCACAGTGAGTTTCATTCAACATAACAGATCTAAATTAAAATAACATGCTATCTCTGGAGTTATAGAAGTCCTTTTGTAACTGGCAAAATAAAAATGGTAATATTCATACCTGTTGTGAACTACTGAAGTTTGTAGAATTTGAAACAGAGTTGTTTGAATAAATAGTGGATGATGGTGTGAAACTAGAACCTAAAATTAAGAAATATAATTAACTCTGAGAACTTGTTAGTCAATCAAAATAAAATACTAATTAGAATATTCCATGTGAAGATGTAGATGAATCAGAACAAAAAAACACTTTTATTTTCCATTAGAAGTGTAAAACATTGTAATGAAACTTTAGATCAAATTAAATACTACTTCCATGCATACATTCCTCTCCACACCAAGCAAGGAAGATATCAACAGTAAGTCATCTCACCAATTTAGAAAGCATTTTTCAGTTTATTGCATTCTCACCTCGCCTCAAACACTGTTTTTCTCTTTTACCTTCATTTCTAATACTTTAGTGTTACATTTGCGAAACAAAAACCTTTTCAAAAAACTATATCTAGGTGTTTTTAATCTATCTGTAATGAGGCATGTCCTTGCTTTCAACATAAATTAGACGATTCATATTGCAGTTTGTAATATGCAAAAGATTGACCATTGTATAAGAGGCTTAAAAATTTTCCAAATAAAATAGGTTATCAATGACCACTGGGTAATCAATTAATTATTAACTGAATAGTAAATGACAGAATAAATATAAATTAAGGAGAAATTCTAAAAAAGTATGTTAATCCAAGGAGAAACAAGTATCAAATGATGCCATACTCAGGAACATAAACAACAAGGAAAAGAAACTTGTATATATTAGTAAATATAACAAGTGTTTTCAGTCCTGCCACTAAAACAATCAAGGAAAAGAAACTTGTATATATTAGTAAATATAACAAGTGAAATCCACTTTTTGTAGTGGATTTCACTCCACTACAAAATCCAAAAGAAGGCTCAAGTAGGGACTACATTCCATGCCCGGATCTGAAGTAACAGATGATCAAAAGGAATAGCACCAGGAAGAAATAGCTTTAAATTTTAGAGGTGGCTACTCACCTGGCATCTGGTAGGAGTACGGTGTTTGGCCTGGCTGTGGGGTGGAAAACCCTGGGCTGTAACTGAGGCACCCGCTCTGCAGAGGAGATTGGGTCTGCGAGAGCCCACTTTCCGTCTTGATGCCTGGCAACATTACACCCAAATCTGTATAAGAAATTAATTTTCAACTGATTCTTTAAAATATTTTGTTACAGTTGGGAAAACAAAAAAAGAGAAAGCAAAAGTGACGTTCCAGTCGGCATTGCTTTTAGTCATAGGTAAAGAGAAGTAAGAAGTGGTCAAATACCGTAAGTGGGCAAGCTGTAGGGCTGTCCTGTCTGTGAGTAGGCTGTATAGACCGCTGGCTGCTGCATTCCCGAATACTGCGTTTGTCCAGCATAGGCAGACATTGTTTGAGCTGCTGGTGTAGAAAGAATGTGCGGATAGGGCCTAAATATCAGGAAAAATAGCATTACTGTGGCAACAAATACTTTGTATGTTGATTCAAGCAATAAAGTAAAGAAAAAGGTTTAAAGATGTCCAAAGGCAGTTCATTATTCTGCCAACTGCTCCTCTTCTGGGATTTATTCCATCCCCCACTGAAATAAGCTGAAAGACACTCTGTCCCACATTCCCCAAGGCACAGTGAATATTTTATGCTGTCCCATCACTACAATTTAATTCTTAAGCTAATGTGTCCACTTTTGGGTGGGCTGTGCCACTGCTTCATATCTTTATATGGATTTAACATCTTTCAGCCGAGACCAGAACATTTCAATTAGAAAAGCCCCCACACCTTTTTAATCCAATGGAGGGAAATTTGGACTAGAAGAATAGGGGAAACACAGAGGTGAATGTTGGAGCTAGTACATTATGTCATCTGTGTAGGTTCTGCTTCAACAGACATGTAGCCTCTAGCTTCAATGGGAGATGGATCCTACCCATGGAGAGTAGCATAAAAAATACAGACACCAATACTTTGGTAACCAGATGGGCTTTAAATGTTCGGAAAATATGGCCTAGAAAAATAGAATGGAAATAAAAAATGGTCTTTTATTTATGAACACTGGGGTTTTATAGAGAGATTGAATAAAATCAAGTTTAAATTTTTTTGCCCTCCAGAGTTGCAAAAATATACAGAGAAACATTTTTCTTGGATTGTTTTGTAAGTCAAATAAGACTTTATGGACCAAGAGTTGAATAAACACACTCTGCAGAATTACGCTAACTGAAACCTGGCCATTAAAAGCCATGACTAAATTTCAGATTCCAATTTTTAAATTTTTTTCTTTCTAATTAATTCAGTACAGTTGGCAGCATTTACTATCAGAAAAGGATTACTCATTGATTTAGATGCCAAAAAATTGTAACAGTAGATTGAAAATTCTATTAAACCTTGTAATGTATTTGGCCAAAAGTACCTAATATAATTTGCCAAAACCTGTTCAAATTGAAATGATGGCTCTTATTTCAGGCACCTACTTTCTGTATTAATAAATTTTGGTGACCATCATAAGATTGCAAATTTGTTAAAAAAAACTTGAAAGAGCTTAAGTGGCTCTTGAATCTTTAGATTCAATGTTTTCTCTGTACCAAAGTGACATGATAGCTGTATCAAATAAATGGAAACAAACAGATGGCATAATGGAATCAAGAACCCTCGTGCACAACACTGATCACAGGACAAGCAAACTAATATGCTGCCAACTGCAGCAGTTCCATACAACATCTTTGGTGTTTCTTCCAAAAGTTCCCACTCCTGGATTTGAGTGATTGTCCAAGAGTCAGTTTCCCCCCACCAAAAAAAAGAAAAACATGAAGAAATTTTCTATTTCTAACAACATCCGTTGGCTTAAAAATAATAAGATTAAAAGCTAATCCAATTTATTTGATTTTTAAATCTTATGATATCGGAGAGGAACAAGGAAAGGGTGGTTCATGATTGTGGAATGTTTGGAAGCGTTTGGCAATGCTGGCCTTGGAAGGGTCAGGGACAGGGTTACCCCCCAGTATGCAACTTGTGCATGCAATTGTGATTTCTATATATAAACTGACTTCTCCAAAATATATCTGCATATATTCCCCACACATGCTGTTAATATGCTGATGTCTGGGAATGCAATAGCCTGATTATTTTACTTCTGTTGTGTGCTGATATTCAAGGGTGCTTCTCGTGCAGCAATACTGCACGAAGCAGGATCTTACTCTGTAGACACACGAGGAAAAAAAAGTTGGAGAGGGAGCCAGTACTGGAGCCAGTACCGTGGCTTAAGAATTTTCCTTTTCCTCTGTTTCTCCTGCTGAACACTTGTTTGCAACAAACCATAAAACTGCCCACAGCCAAGGTCTATGAAAGACTAGAAGAGGTGCAGACACTAACTTGGAGGGATATATCTGTGGAGAGTACTGGTGCGCTGATCTGGGACTGTAGCCACTACTTGTTATTACTGCAAAACAGAAAACAAGAGTACAGCAGTTAGAAACACCATGAGACCCACACAGTCACACAGTGTGAACTAAAGCAGCAACATTAACAGAGAAGCCTATTGAAATGGACAGCTTTTCAAGGAAGCAGATGTCACCAGTACCAAAACATTAAAAAAAAAAGTTTAAAACTTCCAAATCTTTCTCTGGTGTGCAGAACTCTTTAGTTAGCATGGGTATGTCACACTTTCTCAACTTGACTAACACGTTTCTGAGTATATTGCAGAGGCATGTATTTTATACATCACCTGTGATCCCCACACTGTTGATCTTTCAAATTTGCAAGTTGTATTAAAAGGGGTAGTTAAAAAGAATCTTGTGATCTAACATATTTCATGGGATTGAAGTAACATACACATACCTTTATAGTCTCACATTAACAAGAAGTTCAATTTAGGAAAAGCATGCTTTATATGGTTGTGACTAATTTTAGTTAGCTTAGGTGATGGAAGATACTGCATTGAGCAGTAGAAACCAACTACCATTCCTTATAAACAGGCCAATTAGAAGATAACCCTTAACAACAGCATTTTTATTTTAAAGTATGCATAAACAGTCCTGTTCGGTAGCCATCCAAATTGTGTGTATCTATACTATTCACAGCTGCATTCTCCAAGAAAGCTAACAGAACAATAGCCATAACCCATTAAAATTTCATCCAGAAGCAGTGCTCACACTGGATTAATTCCAAGTGTTTGGAAGTTTCCCTTTCCTTTAACCATCTGTCTTGACTAAGACAGATGTATTCCAAATATATGTACTCTAAAGTGTTGAACCAATCCCTTCAGAGCAAATCCATACTGGGCAAACATACAGAGTGTCTTTATTAGGCCATCTGCTGTTCATTCACTTTTCAAAAGATTAAAGTAGTACACAATGAAGCACTGGAATTTCTTTAGTCTAATCAATCATAGTTGTACTTCAAAGTGTACCCTCTTCCTGAGTTATTCCTAATGGTAGTAGAAATGAACATTCAGAATTTTATAAGTGACAAATAGGTTTAGGTTCCTAACTATTTTATGAAACATGATACATTTCTACATCCAGCCCTAATTAATGTCTCTCAGATCTACTGCTTTGAACACACAGAGAACTTCATATTTTTAAAGATAGTTTAAATGCATTTAGAATGTGTAGAACTTAAAAGGAAAATACAGTAGAAGAAAAACAATTAACTTCTTTCTAAAATGTGCAGTTAAGTATGCCTTGAAAGTAAAGAATTGGATAATAACTTTTAAAACATGTGCCATTAGATTTCATAAAAGAGTTGCCGTTTGAAAAGATATTGAGGGTTTGCTTGTAATGGAAATCTGCTAAATTTCATTTTGTGTGGATATTGTTTTTGAGGGTTTTTTTGAGAATGCCTTTCTGTGGTTTAGAGCAATCTGCTACAGGTGCAGGCAGCTATTCCAGAGTCAGACAAACCTATAGCTGTTTCTATCAATGTAACTGTTTCACAGAACTCCAAAGAATGCTCTTGGTTATTTAAGGGTTGATGAGTAATTAATCTTCCCTGTTGCAGCTCTGTGACCTTTCTAAAGACAAGCAATAGCAGCAGAGTGACCTTGGTGGTTCTCAGGGCAAGGAACTTTTGTGATCCATTATTGGCTTATCGGATCATTTTAGCCGTATTGCTTTTTTTGTCTGATCATTTGCTGGATGAGAGCTCAATCAATTAATCACTTTGGTTAAAGAACATTTAGCATGACAATCCACCTTATGTAAACTAGAAAAAAATTAATTACTATTCATTTAAATCAATTGAGCTATCAAAACCTAATACTTTTCAGTAAAAACTATCCTGCCTGTCTTTTTATTCTTTCTGCATATACCTTCTTTCTAAAATTCAGACAATAAAATAAAATAAAATAAAATAAAATAAAATAAAATAAAATAAAATAAAATAAAATAAAATACTTTTGGAATGTGTCTGGTTTTAAATTTCCTTGTTTTTATTCCCAGTTTTCCCTGATGATCCAGTTGTAAGGAAGAGAAAGAGTCAAGACTAAAAAAATCCATTCTTTTCACTGTTTTTCTGTAGCTTGTCCCTGCAATTTGTCCTGTGAGATGTTTGAGAAACATTTCAGGGTGTAAGGCCTATCATAAGAGAACATTGTGACTGAGTAGAGCCTGTGGACCACACCTGTATCTCACAGATGAAACTACTAATTCTAAGGGTTATGAAACTTTAGATACCTCATAACATCTCCTCTCTGAGGACTGCTGGCAGTGGAAGAGGTGGTGGAGGCAGGTTCCTGTGGGTTTTGTGGTGCTTTGTAAAGGGGCTAAATGCTCTTTTGTGTTGCTTATGTCAAAAAAACCATACCAAAACAAAATTGTTTCTTCTCTGAAAAACTCAAATATTCCTAAGACTTCACTACGTGAAATTACCAAAGGAATGCCCTTCAGGGCAGGTATAAGACCCTTGATCTCTCCAGTTCCCATTAACGTTGTTTCACAAAGGGGCAAGCTGACAGCCAGCTCCTACCAGTTACTCTCTTAGTTCTAATGGCCAACGTGGTTGTGGAGGATTTAAATGATCATTAGCTGTTTTAATAGCATGTGTTGGGTTCAGTATATTAATATGGGCTGGAGTTTTGTGTATTTTCATTACACATCTGGAAAATTATGTGCAAAAAGGTTAGGTTTAAAGGACCTGATTTAAGTAACATCACAATCTCTATGCACAAGGGGACCAAATGTAGTCTAAACAGCAGTGACATTCCCTAACTTCACTTCCATGGCCTTCTGAAATTGCTTTCTACATCTGTAAACTGTACTCTATACCCTGTGTGTAATAAATACTAAATTAAAATGATGAGAACACTAAAATGATAAAACAGTTCTCAAATTAATCCACTATTGTAAGCGATATACACAGCATTACAGTACAGCAGCTGCAACAAATTCACAGTGCATGAAACTCTCAGTTAAGGGCTGTGCGCCTCTCCCAGTCCTGTGAATGCCCACCCCAGCAGGAGCATGCTGCAGAATCAGAGAGCTGCAAACTAATTACCAACTGCTCCTCTGTGAAGAAGAAGGAGGAGGAAGGCGGGTGCACAATGGGACTCCTCACCTGGCTAACCCATGCCCAGAGGCACTGGTTCTCCCAGGGGCAGCTCCCCAGCACAGGGGAACCACAGTCCTGAGCACAAGCTGCAACACATGGGCTGCAGCCCTGAATAGGGCCTTGCCAATCCCAGGACAAATGCCACTCTAAATTCAAGAGATCTGTGTGCCTTACCTTTTCAGTGAACAGTTCACAGAATCAGTTTTCTGTGAGGTCTAATCTGTCTTTCCTGTTCTATACCTGACACAATTTGTTTGACCATCACTTACAGCTGGTCATTAGGGACAGAGATGACTACTTTACACCCCATGTGGCTTGTTGAGCCTTCTGCTCAGTTCCAGGACAGGTCATGTGTTTTGACTGCCTTTGGAGCAGGGAAATCAATTTTAATTTGTAGAGTGTTTGAAGGAAAGGATTTCTGCATGGCAGACTCTCAAATGCATCTCAGCACCAGGAGTTCTCTTTTCACCCATGTCTCATTTCAAAAAATACAGAGAAGTGCTGGCATCATGACTTTGTCATAGTTGGGAATAACACATATATGTCCCTCATTTTCAGGAAAAAACAAACTGTTCAGTGTTGGGCTTTGCTATGCATTTTTCAGTCACAGGTGGCTCATTTGAAACAACATCTGTCTACTAGTCAGCATTTACCGTTTGGCAATCCACTAAACTTTCCAACTAACCAGTTAGGCTAAAAACTCAGAGAAATCCTGGTTTTGCTGAGTTTTTACTGCTCTTTAAATTAAAATTAGAGGAAAATTAGAGGAAAAAAATTGCCTGATTTTGGAGTACAAGTAAAAGGCAAGCACGAAAGTAACATATTCAATCCTTGTGAAAGGCTGAGTGCATTATGAGGGCAGCTCTGCGTCTCGCTCTGATGATGAAGACTGCATGTCACCCAGACAGGCAGACTATTGATTTCCCACTGAGAATGACCGTACTCATTTACTGCTTGAGTTTGTGCACTAAATTGAGAATCAGGTTCATATTTCTTTTGAGTGCGCAGGTGGCTAACAGGCAAAAAAGGATTATGCAAGGCTCAAATTCCTGCCTTTTTTAATCTTTTTTTTTTTTGAGGCACCAACTTCCCAAACATCCAAAGTGTAGAGATCTCAAGACTTCTTTTATCTCAGTGGAAGCTGATGGTTGAGTGGCACCTGGGGAAATCAAGCTGTTACTTAGCTATCTAAACCTGAGCTGAAGGCTGCAAGTCTTGGCACTCCAATGTTGCCTTAGCCATAGAATAGAACTCAGCTGCCTTAAATACATGGCAGAAGCTGATAAAGCTTCATCAACAATGAAAAAATCATACCTAGAGTTGGATATTTTATGGTTTGTAATCATTACCAACAAAATTTTAGCACTGAGTGAAAACAGAGTGAAAAAGAAAAGCTAAATTTAAGCCCAGACTATTTAATTTTTATGGAAGTTTTTAGCCTTTAGGCTGAGGTTCCTCTCAGTATAATTATAATGAGGACAATGAAAATTAAAATGAGGACATTTTTCTAATCAGAAATAGTAGATGCTTTAAATCTCACAAAGTACTTTTTCTTCATACACTAAATTAGTAATAACTACTTTTCTGAATAATTAACTTTTGGGATTAACTGATTGATTACACAGAAACATTATGATTTCCAAAATATTTTAAATAGGGCTTGACTACTTAAGTCTACCAAAGTAACAGTAGCATCAGTGTGGAGTGGTGATTTGTGGCTTTGGTGTTTCATTTCCGTCAGGCCATTACTGAACTCGTGTTTCCATATGCAAAACTTATTCTCCCTCCTCTCCTTTTTAATATTGTTATTAGCAGGATGCAACTTAATGATTAGAAGGCTAATTCTCTGTACTTTTCCACAGCTCATCACATTTTAACAATTTATAGGAATCTACTTAAACCACTGTTTGTTTGAATTTTTTGAGAAGCAATTGAAGCCTATGATTATTTAATGTAAAACCATGTTCTTGGAAAGAAAGTAGCTCATCCCAGTGGAAAGAGATTAACACAGCAATCAGGTCACTGTTTAAACTAAATAGGAGTAAAAAGATTAGCACTGAGGTATAAACCTTAAGATTTGAAACTGCTCAAATTAGCATGGCTGTTACAATCCCATTTTTTTTCTAATATCATACAAGACTAACTCTGAGAAAAAAGATCTACATTACCATAATAACAGTATTATTTTGAGACTTTTGCAAACAGCAGTGGTCTTAGGCATAATTATTAGGCATTCTTTAAGATCACACTTCACATAAATTGCTGAATAAGATCACACCTCACATAAACTGCTGAGTTGCATTTACAAAAATGAAAAAGCTATTATTATTTCTACTATTACTACTACTACTACTATTATTATTATTAGGTATAAAATACTATAACATTTTATAGTAGCTTTGTAAAGATTGCTTCTATGCAAATGTTCATTAGTGATTGTTATTAAATGCTGCATTAATGTCCATCTAACAAAACATCATTTTATTATGGCTTTACCTGACCCAGTAAAAGTGTCAAGCGATGCATCTCCAGTTGTTGTTGCTGTTTCACTGTTGTTCATGGGTTCTGTTTTGACTGCAAGAAGAGACACTACATAGAAGAATAAGTAGACATGAGATTTTACTTCTGGATTTGCACTGGAGTCCTCATGCCAGTCTCACTATTGGTAGTCCAGCTCAAACAAGCACACGTGCAACAGTTTCAACCTTTGTTCTAGCACCATACCGAGACAATCGACAGGAATCTGACAGGAATGCCCATTTATCTACACAGCTCTGTATCTGTGCATTCATCCAGCTATTGGTTTTAGCAACTGGAATATCTTCTGGGAAGATTTCAACATAAATTTAATTGATTCCAACAATATCCTAAGACTAGCATAGAGGAAGGAAACATTAGCTGTCAAGGGATGTGGCACATAACAAAAATAGTTTTGCCTGACAAGTAAAACAATTATAATATAGTTTCATGATAATACAGAAGGAAATTACTTTCACAGTGCCAGCATGTTGCCTTTCCCCTTCCCCTTTTACAGTCTGTGGGGGCCTTTTTGAGCTAGGCCACCAACAAGCAATTTTTCATAATTGAAGAGAGAAGTTTGAAAGAAAAAAAAAAGAAAAAAAGCCAAAAAACTAGAGTAGGACACAAATGGCAGCCATGACAAGTTAGCTTCTTAATCAGAGGTTACCAAACAGTTTAGTCTACTCTAAACTCAAATTTATTTCTTAGGGATCATCATGTAGTCTTACCATTCAAGCTGTACCTCAAAGCACAAAAAGCACCACAGAGGCAATACAAATTTTTGTAATTAAGTATGTTACATGGACAGAAGATTTGGCATGGACTTTTGTAATGGAATTTGGGAACCATCCATCCAGTTGATGTGGTAAGAAACAGCAGCAGAGAATGTGCTGCAGCTCCTATTAGCCTGTCTGACTGGCAAATGTAGAAGCTTTAACATAGTAACATAATTTCTTCATGAAGGTAGGTTAGGGTTGGGCATGGACACTCATCACACGCTTATGGATTGCACAGGCTGGTGCCCAGGGCCACAGAGTGAAGAGGCAATGAAGACCTGCACAAGCAACCACCTCAGTTGGATGCAGGTATCCAAATTCCGTGGGCACAGCCTGGGATTTGTGAAGAAGCCTTTGCAGTGACAGCCAGCCTGGCAGAGCCCCCCAGCAGGTCTGACATAAGCCAAGGAGAGGCGTCCTCTGCCAGCTGGTTACCTGACGCCTCTGAGAGGCCTCAGCTAAGCTGACCAAAGCTCTCATCTGTCAACATCACTGCATCCACGTTTGACTGCACTGGCAACAGTAAGGGAAAGGGGGGAATTTCATGTTCCGATCTGGCAATGTATTTAAAAACTGTGGCACAGATTCAAGTCACCTAAATCAAGCGTATAAAAGGTGCCTACTAATCTCCCTTCACGTTTAGCTGAGACAGAGAGGAACTTCCAGAGGTTGATTCAGTACAAGTACGACCTGAGCTGCCCTCAAGCTCACTGTCCCTCATACAGTCTGAAGAGGAAAAGGCAGTGCATGAGATAAATAAAGGATTTAGTTTCCTCGAAGGAAAAAGGTGCAGAACAACACTTACAGACCAATCCTGCTATTCTTCTCTGTGTCAGCCACCAGTAAAGCTGCCTGTGACAAGCCCTGTGTGAGCTACCTCTCCTACAAAATCACATCCCATTTCCAGTCACACTGCCTAATGGATCTTACTTCAGGAAGTCACATGGGATGCTGCTGATGTCTACAACTGTACAAGTGACCTGTGCTGAAGTCAGAGGGACACCTCTTTGGATCAAGCAGGAGAAATTGGGATGCATTTGTCTCTGTGACTGGTAGAGTGCCCTGCAGCATTACTGGTGCACCAGTGCCAAACAAACAAAGTAATACCTTCTGGTTTCAGTTGTACAATTGTATCTTTCCATCTACTGTCTGAGATTAAAAACTCTTTGAATGTGTCTTTTGAATAGAAACTCATTTTCATTATTGTTTCTCTTTCATAAAACTACCATGTCCAAATAGTCTCACTGAAAGCAGCAGGATATTAATTCAATATGGAGTCATCAGGGAAGAATTTTAGCCACATCTTTTCAAGCTGTCATGAACTCCTCACTTTGCTAGCTATTATATTTTCAATTAAAAAAAACCCAAAACTGTGACAAAACCAACCCAAAATGAAAAAAAAAAATTCTTAAGAGCAATAGAGTAATCAGGCATTCTCGTTTCTATAATTATTTGAGAAGAATGTGATTTTATTTTCATCATATCAATAAAACACATATCAAGAAAAAGTTCAAGGGTAATTTGTCACAAAAGGATGGCCCTCACTAAACCTCTCAGTCATGTGGAACATGTATAGTTGCCTGAAGTATCAAAAGTATCTAAATTAATTTATTTGCTGATTACTGCATATGGATGCCTCTATGTACTTCTGCAAAGTCTGGGCACCTACCCACACGAATAAAGTACTTTTTAGTACCTTTATCTCTTTTTGCTCAAGAAAGTATTTCACTATTGTCCACTGTGAGGTACAAATGTTCAGTATTGCATCCAAGGAGACAGTATATGTTTAACTGAACAGAAACTTCAGTCATGAATTGAAATGTTTACTTTAGAATTGTGTCTTGTTCTGGTTAATGCCAGCTGCACTGCACTGCCATCAGCATGAATAGACACAATCTTTTTTCTTTCCCTGTCAAGAAAATAATCTAAAACAAAAGAAACACTCTCCTGCACTTAACTTGAGCAAAAACATTATATTGGCACTATTTGTTGGAAAATACTTATAGAAATTGTTTTTATATGTGCTTGACTTTAAACAGTTCTACTTTTTTACATTCAGATTTCATGACAGTAAAGAATTCATCAAGGTCCTTCCTCAGTGTAGCTGGAGATTTTTACTATTACCTATTTTTCCTTATGTTGTATGTCATTACATAAAGAAGGAAAAAGGCACAAAACTAACTAAAAAAAAAAGAAAATATTCCAGCATCAATTCAAGACAACGAATTTTTTTTGTTTAATATATTGAAAGAGTGAAAATAAAATGAAAAGCAACTTCTAACTGGAAAAACATTTGAGTGCTGCTAGCAGTTCTGTTTTCAGATGGGATAAGCAAGCAGCTGTGTGCTGCTTAGTTGCCAGCTGGGCTTAGACCATGACAACACAGTGACAGTAGAGCTACATCATCATGTGCTGGGGCACGAGGTGTGCAAGGAGACGCAAGAAGCTGGGCTTGTTCTGTCCTAGGAAGAGGAGGCTGAGGGGAGAGCTAATTGCTGCCTGCAGCTATCTAATGGGAAGGTGCAAAGATGACAAAGAACAAAGGCACACTCACCTCAAAAGGTGCCCTGGGAAACAACTGGTGGGAACAGATACAAGCTGCACTAAGGGAAAAGTCCAATTAGATGTAGGAGGAAAATTCAATGCTGCCTTGAATGACATGATCTAACAGCAAAGTTGGCTCTGCTCTGAGCAGTTCTTGGCCCAAATGACCTCCAGGGATCTCATTCAAACTTCACTGTTTTCAGGCTAACTCAGAATACAACTCCCAACAAGCAACAGCTTCTGCAATAGACCTTGATGAAAGGACTTAGCAGATCAAAATGACTGCTATTCTGCTGACCACTTTTTTATTTTCTCTAAAGCATTCCTCTATGTTAAGGACTGAGTTTTAGGGGGAAGAGGTGCTAATACTATGCATGAAAGAGGACAAGTAAGCGCAACAGAAGTTACAGCAAAACAAATCTGGTTTTAAAGGATCATGTGAAACAATAAACCACACAGCTTGTCATAGGAATGATTTCTTCTTTCTTTTAGCAAGCCTTAAGAGTTTTCCTGGGAATATACTCAACCAGAAGCACAATTCTAAATATTCTACTGCCTATGGAAAATTAGATTTAGTACAACTAACACATTGTATTTCCTCCAACTAATAACTAGTACTTAAATTGTTACCTTCCACATTTACCTGAACATGCTGAACAGTTAAAAGAGGCAACAGCCCAAGTTATCTCAGTCTTCCTTAAACCTAAAATCTTGTTATTCAGCAGGAGCATCCACATGGAACTTATTTTAGTACAAATGATCTCTTGTGCTCAATTCAAATTTTTTTTTTTTTTAAATTTTCTTTGCATATATGTTTTACAAATGGCAAGCTGATTCTGAAGGATTTTTTAAAAGAACAAGTTTTTGAAGTCTTCCTAACTTTAGTCCAAACCTGCACAACTTAAGCACCTTTGTAATGACTTGTAGAGAAACATAGTGGTGCATGTTTATATCTATGATTAATTCCATATGTACTGTAACGATGTTACATATAGAGTTATTATTAATCCTTACAGCTTCTGGCAATTAATAATACATGTCAAGAAACTCATAAATGAAAACAACAGCTTGGAAAATTTGGCCAAAATTTTGTAAAGTGGCAAGTTACATGTGGCAGCACATTAGACATAAGCTTTGATTAATAATGAAAGTCTTAGTAGGAGTAAGAATACTGTCAGCCTTGACTCGTGCTCAGGTAATCATGCAATGCTTTACTTAAAAAGAAAAGAAAAGCAAATGGGCATTCTGTGAAAATTCCATCGGTCTGATTTCCACCAATGCTGACTACTGGCAATTGCCAGCAATGCTGAACACCACGAGACAATCCCAGTCACTCAGAGCATGTAGACAGCTAAGCTAATTATAAGTGGGTTAAATTCTCCTTGCTCATCAAATGACTTTCAAAGCATTGTAAGGTAACTTCTTGTTGCAACTTCCTTAACAGTTTTCTGTCTGTGGGAAAAGCCTTTGAGAAAGGGTAGGGAAAAATGCTCAGGGTGAGGGGGAACCCCAGGAGAACGTTCAAACTGCATAAGACCAGAGCAGATGGAGAGAGATGTCACACAGCACTCGTGGGGACACACCACACACGCATGCACTGTACCAGGGCCTCTCATACTTGTTGCAGAGGAGGGAGTACTGCAACTCAGCAACCAGTCTGCAGTATTTAACACAGTCATGTTGTCTCCTGAGAACAGGAATGGTACAACAGTTCATTCTCCCCATGTCTGTTCAGTGTAAATGAATAGTCTTTAAGGCAAAGCAGTATTTTGGCACTTAAATCAAGCCTTTTAACTGAACTGTATTGGTTTTGTCAGTATTATTTTAACTGGTTTATTTATTCACGTTGTATAATGTAGAGGCATCCAGTTACTAGTGTTCTTTAATAGCATGCTGAAAGTTTTCTCTTCTTTTTATGCTGGAATAAGGATTCTGTTCAAAAATAGGATTCAGCCCTTCTTTGCAGAGCCCAGTTACTATCCCAGGCACATCCACTTCTTATTGACATTGACATACTTTTATTTAAACAGAGTAAGTGAATAAAATGCTGTACCTTGTGGCCAGAAAGAACAAGCAAAAATTTTTTTTCTTAGTACCAACTGTAAAAATAGACAGTAATGAATAAACTCTAAAAAAGGAACTCTAGCTTGACTCATATCCATGGTGTCACTTGTACTGTGTGCACCTCAGGATGTGGCACACTGCAGCCCACTGCTATGGCAGAGTTGGTTATCTGAAAGCATTGGAATATCTGTACTGTAGTTGCATGGCAGTGTTACAGTATCACCTACAGTGGTAATGACCAGTTACTGCTGAGGAAAATCTAACAATCTCTTTATTACAAACTTTAGTTACCTCCCAAGAAATTAAATTCATCAGCGAAAAAAAAAACCCTCTCATATTTCCTAAGTCTAATTTTGATGCACTTTTCTTTATAATGATTTTAATTTAACATATATGCATGTAACTCAGGGTATAGAGTAAATTATTATTCATCAAGGAAGTATGACACAGAAAATAAAATTAATATTGTAAGTTACCAACAGGTATAAGCAAACATTTAACACTGTGTTCAAATCAACCATTCAAAATTTTTTCTTACTTCATCTTTGCTCCTTGTTTCAGTTCTGCCTCTTACTTCAGTTGGTGCAAATCAAAGTGATGTTGGAATTAGAAATTTACACTTGTATGACTGCCAGTTTTTCATAATTCTTGCTGGATTTATAAATGGGTATATAGTCATTCTTGAAATTATGGTAAAAAATGTGTATGACTAAAACCTATCCAAAACTTTCTGTGTGCCAGCTGTGTCTTATACTTACCTCCTGTTCCATTTGTTGTGACTGATGTGCTATTGAGATTAGATTTATCCAGTTTGGAACTACCTGGTGCATCACTACTTCCAACAAGATTATGAGGACTGGCTAGATCCTGCATTTCCATAGACCTGTTAAAAAACAAGGTGACAGTATTAATGCATTGTGATAGTATTCAAAAGAATCTGCTTTTTCTACAATAACTTTTTAATTTTTTTTTTAATATGGAAAGTTTGCAATGCATCCAGATTAACAAATCAGTGCAGGTTCCTTTGACATCTTCGCTTTTTACCAAACCTAGGAAAGTTAACAGCAACAATGCCACTATTTTCCACTTTTCCTTTAGATATTATGAAGTGACATGGGCTAATGCAACTTCCCCTGAAACACACCACAGAGTTTGTGCATAAGAAAGCCAAAACAGGAACTTCTGCCTCTCACAATAAGTATTGCAACCACCAGCAGTTACTGCATCCACACTGAATAACAGGAACAGCCCATACAAGTGAATGAACAGAACTTTCGTGCACATCTGGAAAATTCTTCACTCCTACAGATGTATATATTCTTCTTGGATCTCTTGATACTTGTTTTCTTCTGTGTAATTTGTGGGAAGCTTGCAAAATTTCAAGTGGATTTCGGCTGCAATGAGTTCCAGCCTCGCAGTTACACTGGGGGCCTGCAGATGGCTTTCGTGCAGTGACAACAGATCTGCCTTTCCAGACAAAGACAGAGCAGACAAGGAACATTTCTTGTTAGACCGGTAATTGCAACCCAATTTGCAGTCTGTGCTCGCCTACTCCTTCTTCATTTATATATTAATTACACTGATTTTTTCCCCCCAGAGAAACAATTTTGCTATATAGAAGCAAAGTTGCCAGCCCACGTGTAACAAGAGAACGATCTACCATATGTATACACCAAAGGCCAACAGAAAGATTGACTTACAGAGGATGTGAAAGCCCTATTACATTGTAGAAGGCTGAGATGGAGAGGAAAGAGATGAACAGTTGGGATGGTTCAGTAAAACAGCTCCCAGGTGTTCATATTCTGACCGGGACAATCAAATCATTAAGGGCAACACCCAGCGCTGTAAGAACTTATTTCAAGTTTCACTTTGAAACTGCCTATCTTCTGTCCTCCACAGATCCTTCTCTGTGGAAAAACAAACAAACAAAACTCCACTACCTTTCCATCAAATATGGTCTTCTGGCTGAATCGGGATTTTTTTCCCCTCCACAAAATGAAATTATCAGAATTTTGTATACCTAATGCTGCTGATCTCCTGGATGATTTACTCCCTCACATTATATTCATTTAACCCAAGACAAAGATTCAGAGCTTTCATGTGTTGAATATATTCGAGAAGATGTAGGAAATACTATATCTCAGCCAGGAAAATAAATGGAAGCTTCATCCAAAGCCACATGAAGCAAAGAATCCCACTTACTCAAGCAAATGCTTCAGTCAACAATAAGATGCACTGGCTAAGCCATTGGTAGGAAAGCCTGCCCAGCAGCACTCCAGAAAAGCAGGAAAAAACTGGTATTGCTGCAGGCCATGCATCAGTAGGTAAGAATTTTACAGCCATATTCAAGGAAATGCAAAGGTATAAACTGAGATTTTAACTGCATTGAACCTGATTTCTTCATCAAATTGTATATACATTTCTACACATCTGTCAGCAGTGCATTATATTTATTGTCTACTGGAAATGTGATCAGTGTTAGATGAAATAAAATGAACTCAGGTTGTTTACAAGTCTGCCAGGTTTTGTTCAGCAGTTTCTGTACAACTATAGCAGCTAAAGGTTAAAAAAAGTCTATGGGTTTCCATCTTGTATGTATTTAAGGGAGCAGAAGAATGCTACACAAAATAAACAACGTGTGTTTCATTGCATATACAGCGTAATGCTCCCCACGTGTTCACTCGGCAGTTTTAAATATCATGATTTCCTGTTGAAGTATGATCAGCACACAGATACCTAATGGGCAGATCCAGCTTAGAAAGTTCACACTTGCTTTTTCCCCTTGGTTTGCATGAAAGTTAGAACAATTTCTTTTCAGACAGGCATATGTCATTGCCACAGATGCAAGCACTTCAGCAGCATTTTAGAAGCAAAATCACTGGTTCACCTATCTGTTTTTTTAAGAAGTATCCATTTTAAGCACTTTTCACAGTCAAATGAATCAGGTTTTCCTAATCAAATCAGACCTTTTTTAAACCAGAAAATTAGGTCCACTAACTCTCATTTTCTTGGCAAAGAATATAAACAATCAAATTTTGTAAAATGAATACTTTTTCTTCCAAACAAGCACAACAGCTTCTGTGCAGAGAAGTATTTTTATCACCCTAATTTATTTTCTGTAACAAAAATGACATCCCATCTGCAGACATGGCAAGTTAATTAACTAAAAGTATTTTTAATGTAGTGCCTTCACAAATAGACATTTTTTCTGCAGGAGTAAAAGACATCTTGTACTTATTGGTAGTCCATTAAGAATAAAAAGGATATCCAAACCAATAAAATTTTCACAAAACCATGTGTATACATTGTATTATCCTGGGTGCTTCATCCTGTGTGAACAAGCACAGGGATTACTTTAATATATCCCTATGTGATTTATTTACAGAAGTGCACATGTTGACTTCTGTGTAACACATATAATTCAATTCACTTTTCTGGATATATTTAGTTTACCTTTAGCCTGAAAATTTCTCAGGAAGATGTAACACTTACTAAAATCTTATCTTCCAGTGAATGGAGGATTCAGGAAAAATGCTTAGTAAAATGGACAAAATAATCCAACATCTTGAATTCATTTTGTCAAACTAAATGTTTATCAGAGTCCTGCTTTCACTGACTTAATCAGAAGCAGGTTGAGGTTCAGTATGTGCTTTCCTGCGCAAAAAAAAAAAAAAAAAAAAAAAAAGTTTAAAAGAAATCTCTGAAGGAGTAATTAATACTTCTAAGTTTATGCAGCTATTTAGTAAAGACTGCTTTCTAGTAAATGCAGTGTGTTCTAATTTAGGTGGAATAAATTTTATTGTTAAAGGTGCTTAAAAAAATACTCTGTACGATTTTACTTTACATATTCTGTTTCTCTGCCGGGCACATAACTGAACTTTAATTTTTCTGCTCCTACAATGTCTTCAACTGCTTTTTAGAATAATTAGGCAAAAATCTACATCGTATAAAAAGATACATTTTGTCAGGAAATGGAGTGGATAAGAATAAATTTTAATTATCTCTTGACTGTTTGAATTAGGTTTGCTTTATTCCCAGCTTCTGAGCAAAACCCTGGAACCTGGCAAGACAGATTTTTCTTTTATTCTGCTTTGGCTGTGCTTAAAATTCTTTGAAAGTTGGTATTTGCACATGCTTATTGGATCATTGCAGAGGCTTACTGGAAAAGTCTCTAAAACATCCCATGTCACAGAACAGTCTCCCAGATCTCAGTGGGCTTTTACTCCAACCTGTGGACAACCCTACCCAACACAAGAAGGTTTGAATCAAAAATATATCCATGTGGGGATTCTGGACCTTCCCCATTACAGCATATTCTGCTCCCCAGCTTGAAGTTACATCTTTTCAAGGGTTAGCCTATGTTCAGAAGTGAATTAAGGAACAGTATCCAAAGAGATAAATTCCACCCTGTTCTGTCCCATCTTTAGAAGTGTGGATGAGCAGTGCCCCAGCCCACACCACCAGAGTGCACAGCCCAGCACCATAACCCAGCCTTGCACAGAAGGTGTAAGCAGGACTGATTATGACTGCCCCATGCGACAACTGCATCTCTCTATTTCTGTATAGCTTACACTTGTGTTGTTTTAAAGGCAAAAAGCCCAAGTCTTCCTCCTACAGTTGTTTTTAAAATTCCTCTTTTTTTTCCTTCCCTTCATTATGATCACATATTCATTTATGCACTGCTTTTCTTCAGCAGATGTAAAATTAATTTTCAGAAAATCTGGATTGATATAACTGTGTTATCCATCTACATTTCCAGTTTAACTATTTATAAGGTGGACTAAGAGCTGGGTCTTTCCACAGCTTGTAACTCCATTGATTATTTATTAATTCTACAAGTAGAACATATTTATATAATTTTCTTGAAAGAGATCATGTTTTAAAATGTAAACTTTTGTTTCATAATCCAGTTCAAACTTTTTTACCAACAAGACCAAAAGTATTAAATAGTTAATCAAAGAGTTATAAAAGAATAAATATTCTAACATGAAAACGAAGTACTTTAAATCCCAGCCTAACCAGAACATTTTACAAATACTATTTCCTTTGTACAGAATTTGAAGCAAATCCAAATGACAGGAGAACTGAAAGAAGGACTAGATGGTGGCTATTTAAAATTGCATTATTTAATTTAGTTTGTAAATAATTTTTTTTGAAGTATTTAAAATTCTTTGATAGGAAATTCAGCACATACATTTCTTTAGCAGAATCTCATGAAACTTCACTGAGGCAAAAATGCATCTTCTTCTTCCTACTATTACTACTATTACTATTATTGTTAGGTTAGTTTCACCCCTGCTTTCCTAGTATCCCTCCTCTTGTAACACCAATTCTTAAACACTCCATACTTTCTCGCAGAAATGTGGAGTCTTGTCCATTTAAGTTATCAGCCAGCCTGGAGGTTCTGAAATTAAGCAAACTTTCCCTTTATTTCAAATTAAATTTTAGTGCAATAGGACAATAGGAAAGTTGGATAACAGAACTGTTCAAACTTGGCTACATCTGTTTCCTAATGGTATCACATCTCAGATCAACTACACTGTTTTGAAGACAAGTGGATTAATGTTTCTTTTTTTTTTTTTTTTTTTTTCCATTTCCCAAACAGATTTTTTTAGGCAGATCTTTCAGCCATGTTCTAAACAGGACAAGTAAGCTCACCTCTCTTTCACATGCAGTCTGAACTAGCTCATACAAGCCTTTATTCTGACAAAAACAATCAAAATGGATGCACATGCACAAATGTCATTCTACATAAAATCTGCAAAAAAGTTAAAAACAATAATTTAGATAACAGCACTATTATAAAGGCTTTTTTTCTAATGTTTTGGGGTTCTGTTTTTTGGGTTTGTTTGGTTGTTGTTTTTTTTTTTTTAAATTACATTC